GAATCATCATAAAGAAGGTATACAATTTCTATAAATTTAACATATTATATATCACGTTTAAAGGGAAAATTCGTTTAAAAATCCCACCCCATAAACACATTCCCTTTTCTTTTATACAAAATTATGATAACATATTATTTATAAATTTATTATAATACTAATTATATTATTATTGAAATATTTTAGACAAGGAAGTTAAAATTTTATTATACCTACTCAAAAATCATCCCCTAAAGTATACACTTCCGAATTGAGTTGTTTCTCCCTTTTCAAAGACAATAATTCCCAACTGCTTCTGACCCCGCAGTCATGAAGTCCCTACCTGAACTCTGCATAGTTATCGCTTCTCGGCCTTATGGCTAAGATCAAAGTGTAGTATCTGTTCTTATCAGCTTAACATCTGATAGTTCCTCCATTGGAGGACAACAAATGTTAAACTGATTTTTGGAATCAGACGGAGTGCTAGGGGCTTGCTCCACCTCTGTCGCGGGTTGGCCCGGTATTGCAGTACCGCCGGGATTTCGGCCCAACTAAATAATATATTTAACTAAAAGCTCAGCAGAAAAAATGTAATGATTCTAAAATCTAAATAAGTAACTTACATTACAAAATAGGTTGCGAGTGTGTAATTCGTAAATACATAATTTTTATTATTCTAGGTTGCAAGGATCTTTTTTGTATTATTGGTTGTTGGTCTAGTTTTATTATAATAACACAAATCACACGGCTCAGACTTGAACACACACAAATACTACCTGGGTGTTCAAGGCACCCTGCCCTTTTTGAAACGACAATCTATCAACGGAACACCTCTTAGGAACCAAAAATACCAACCTAATAGAGTTCTTTTCAAATCCCACAACATTCCAAACATTAAATATCATAAAATTCTTTAAAATCACTAATTAATACAACCATATATAATTTAACCTTAAGTTGACACAAAATAAGAAAATAATAAATATATTTTGAAACATGAGCCATTGCCATAGCCTAAATATGAATATAAGTTTAATATATATTTTTCTATGTGCAGGAAGTGGGATGTGGAACCCGGTCTGACCGCCCTATACTCCACAGATACTTCGCCGCGGATCCCCATTAAATGCGCACTGGACCCAAAGGATGTTGGCGGAGATAAGCAGGCAAATAAGTTGGCTTACGCTAGAAAAGGAATTAATAATGCAGAAATGATGGGCTTCTCTACAGACTAGAGAATCGGAAATGCGAAACGAGGCAATGGAAAATGCAGGGAAGCAGCATTCAGATGATCTAGGGAGGAAATCGCTGAATATATTTACTGCTCACTCTGAGTATTTACTGTCTTTCCTGGAGCTACTTATAATCTGGTCTTGAGTATCTTTCTTTTGGCCATAAGCCGAGTATTCATTAATTTATTTATGAGAAAAGTGAATAAAACAATAAAGAAATATAAAATAATTAAACAAATATTAATTTTAGTTTAGTTTAGTTTCCAAAAGGAAATAATTCAGTACCACTTCCTCGCGACATCAGTTAAAACAAAGCCCTGAGATTTAATGTTCTTGGAACTTAATGTTCTGTTCGGCGCACTCGGGAACATAAAGTTCAACACTTGGCCCTGTTCGCCGATCGACCCAGGCAAATCTTACAAATTAAACGCATTCAAGTGCAAGGTCCAGGAATTTTGATTGGGTCAAGCGAGTCGGCGGAGTCGCGCGGTAGCTGAAAAATGCCATAACAAAATGTGTCAAGTGCCAGACATAAATGCCTAAGTAAGAGCGCTCCACCGGCGGGGCGCAGCATCGCATCCTATAAAGAAGGAAGAAGGAACAATGCCGTGGCAGCGTCGTCGGCCTGCGGCCTTTTTGCTGTTTGCTCTCGCCATTCGACATGCGGCTCCTCGGATCGGATCGCATCGGATCGAAACCCCCTTTGGATCCGCATCGCATTCCCTTGGATCGCCTTGGAACAATAAATTTTCGGTGCGTCACTTTTTGTTTGCTTCTTGAGCTGAGCGGGTTCGAGAACGGTTGAGGCTGGAGATGGGGCTGGGTTTCTTCTGTGAGCTTTCCAATTAAAAATGCGCAATTGGGCTTCCCAATCGGAGCGACTTGTACTTATTTGTAAGTTGCACGCATGCTCCCGCTTCTTCTCCTTGGAAGGAATGCTCTACTTGGCCTGCTTCAGCTCCTTCGCCTGCTCCAACTCCTACTCCTTGTAGAGTTTCCATTAATTTACATAAAAATATCTTAATTGCAAGACTGCGAAGCCAAAGTCGACGGCGATTCCCATTTTTTTGCGCCTATCAATGCCATGTCATGTCGCCGACGCCCTTAGCTCAGAACCCTGTTCCTGCACAGAAAGAAAAAATCAATTGGTTTTATGCACAAGACTTGAAAAAATAATACTTAAAGTGAATGTATGTAATTCGAAATAGAATTTATATAGTTAACATTTTTGTTAATCTTTATAAAGTTTAGGGAGTTTGAAAAGATTTCAAAGACTCCATAGAACTCACGTAAAATTGTTAATAATATTAATATTAATTAAAGTATAATATAAAAATGTATGATATAAGGAGTTCAACAAGATTTCAGAAAAAACGTGTAAAAAAAAGTGTTAAATTTATAGATTTTTTTACATTATTTAATTAGAAATCATACATTTCAGTTGGGTAAGAGGAGATACCTAACATTTCTTTAGGACTTTAAACAAAGTATTGATTAATTTTAAACAGAACTCAAGAAATTAATTTAATTATATTATAATATTGTTAATATTATTGAATATATGTTGAATATGGATCGATGGTACGTGTTCCCAAAAAAGCTTTTTTTATAATCGAAATATGTTCATCTTTCTTTAATAAACTAATCAACAAACCAAATGAATTCCAAATTCTTAGGCTTATTTTCTTTTTGTGAAGTCTTCTGGCCACTGACAAATTTGTGCGGCTGCGCATCAAGATTGGCCATCAAGATCCACAAGATGACATCCACAAGAGGGGGCAGAGGCAGAGACAGAGGCAACACATGTCGGGCGACACTTGCTACTCGCGAGTTGTGGAGCAGCCGCTGTCCACGCTGTCCCATGTCCCATGTCCAACGTCCACTGAGCCCGAGCGACTCTTTTGTCCATGCATAATCGCTGATAAATGCGGCTTTCGGTGCTGCAAAAATGATTTGTTGATAATTAATGCAGTCGGAAGGGGCTACGAAAAAAAACTGGGGGACAAACCGCCCAAAAACCTGTTTGCCGCATGCCGAAAAAAAAAAAATATACAAAGTTTAAAAAAAGGAACAGCAGCCAGCAATTTGTGCAAAGTTGTGGCTGTTGTTGCAATCAGGCCTTAAAGGCAATCAACGCACAGTAATTCATGCCGCCTGACAGCACCATCTCCAGCTCCAGCTCCCTTCTCCCTATCCCGATCCCGACTCCATCCTGATCCCGAAACGAACTACCCCCATTCTCCCTGGTTTGAACTCCAACCGAAAATAAACCGAGTGTAAATCGTTTGCTAGTTTATTTTTCTCTTTTCTTCAGCGCCTTCGTCACGCAGCTAATTGCAAGCATTGGTGGAGCGGCGGGGAAGCTGGCCAACATGATCGCAATTAATGCGACTAAAGTTAGTTGGCTGCCTAATCGTGGCCACTTGATCAATTTGGCACGCAATGCAATGCGGGAGAACCACCGGAGATTTTCCCCACATCTTAAGGAATTTAGAGGAAAATCAGCAACAAGAATTTAAGTATGTAGGTTATACAGTAAGGAAAAAACTTGTTTCGTTCAAAACAAAATATATAGAAATTATAACCAAAAACATAGCAATCCGGCTTTATGTTTCAGAAGTACATATTGGTAACGAATTTACTACAAGGAAAAAGAGTTTCACCCAGCATGATTAAAAAATAAAATATATAATCTACATAAACTAATATATTCAGGCCTGCTCCGGTAATCGTAAAATTTTTTCGATTTCGTTTTGGGCGAAAACGAACCGTTTTCGTTTTTAGCTGCTCCGGTTTTCGGCAAATTTCTGCTATCGGAATGTTTCGTTTTCTCATCGTTTCTAACTGCTCAAGCAGCTAACTTATGTTGTTGGTAATAAGCAAACAACGTAAAGTTTTGCCTTTTATATGTACAATTGCCCTCTATCTAAGCCAGAAAAAGGCAAAAAATTGTCGAGTTAGGCAAATCTAGGCACCTAAGATGCTGCCACACTTTTTACAGTTTTAATTCCGGTGGTCTCAAATAATTATTTGGTTAATATTGACTATTTAAGTAGTAAAATTAAATAGCATTATTTATAAACAACCATTTTGGCGGTCCTTTCAAGTTATTAATGTATTCATTTATATTTTATAAGTATTTTTGCGGTGAACTTATCAACCTATCGCCAAAACGAGAAAACTGGTTGAACACGGCAAAAATTTTGTTGTCAAATCTGAGGAGGGGTCAGAAATAAATTTTTTATAAAATAACTACCTGCCAGAATGATCCTGTGGTGGTGTGGAATAAACATCAATAGACCACCGAGTAAAATATTTTTTTCCTTATGTAAATAAGATCTGATTTCATATAAAAAAAGCCATTTATTTTTCATTCCGGCCAGAAAAAGGTGCCCGTTTTTCAAATCGAAAAAATCTTTCGTTTTCGATTACCGGAGCACCAATTTCTCCTTTTCAAAAACGAAAACGAAAAAATCTTGCCGTTTTCGATTACCGGAGCAGGCCTGATTATAATAATTTATGCTTCACATATGTATGCCCAGAAACTATTTCATTACAAAAAGGATGTTTAAATTCATATAATATTTTCAACACAAAAACTAAAAACTCTAAAAATTATATTTATATTATTCAATTTCAATATTCAATTTTTATATTTACGTAAATCATTTTATTAAGGAGTGCTGTTTATTTATTTCAGATTTGATAACAATTCGATAATCCCTAAAAAAACGAATAGCTCCCGCTTCGTACGTTTTGCAAACACTAGACAACCCTAAAATCCTTCCCTTCTACACTTTCCAGCACTGCTCGTAGATCATAAAAGCTGCTTCGCATTAATTTTCAATTTGAATAGAAAATAAAGTAGAACATTTTCGAAGATGGACCTAATGAAAGTTCGTTTGGAGTTGGATTCGATAGTCATGATGGTTACCAAGGAGGCGGAGCAGTGGCAGCAGACTATTCAAAGTGGCCGGATGGCCATGAAGCAGGTGAAGAATATAACATTGCAGATTTTCGACACCGAAAATCAACTGAACGCCCGGGACACCCCGACACGTCGCTACCTGCAAGTGCGGGAGAAGCGTATCAACAACCTGTTCGAGCGCCTGCAGCAACCATTGTGGATGATGAACCAAATCCTCGATACTCTTGCCCGGATCAGGGACAACACTGACCGGATGTACCATCGCCTGGCACTCTGGATCGACGATGAGTATGTGGCGAAGCAGAAGATCGCCAATCTGCAGACTCCGCAGCTGCTGGAGGTTTTGTCGTTCCTGAGCTGCCGTTACAGCGCCGAGTGGGAGATCAAGGAGGTGGTTGTGCGTGAGTATTGCTAGTTCCTTAATAGTTCCTTAACTTCGCAAATTAAATTAAAAAAAAAAACAAAAAACTTCTAATATGATAACATATTTTAATTGGGATTTTCAAGGGATTTTTCGTTGATTTCATAAACATTGGACTTTAAATGTTCAAAATGGTTATTGCCAATCAACAAAAGCTAATTTATTATCGTCTCAAAAATTTCGTTATATAAAAAAACAAAAAAGGAAGCTAACTTCGGCACGCCGAACCTATACTTATTATGTTTACAGTTTGACAGTTACAGTTTTACATTCCCAGCTTTACATATTTATACATTTACCGATCGCTTCTATGGCAGCTATATGATATAGTTGCCCGATTTTTATGATTTTTTATATTTACCAAAATTCTAGAATAATAAAAAAAGCTTACATCTCAGAGTAGATAAAAATACGTTGAAAAACAACGAAGCTATAATTTTTATACCCTTGCAGGGTATTATAATTTCAGTCAGAAGTTTGCAACGCAGTGATGGAGACGTTTCCGACCCTATAAAGTATATATATTCTTGATCAGCATCAACAGCCGAGTCGATATAGCCATGTCCGTCTGTCCGTCTGTCCGTCTGTCCGTCTGTCCGTCTGTCCGTCTGTCCACCTGTCCGTTTCTACGCAAACTAGTCCCTCAGTTTTAAAGCTATCTGAATGAAACTTTGCATATAGTCTTCTATATACTCTCACTGCTATATATGTCGGAACGGGCCGGATCGGACGTTTATATCATATAGCTGCCATACAAATGTTCGATCGATTTTTAGAAAAAAAATTATAACTTTGCTGTTTTTTAATATTTTTGCACCATATTTTAGATATGGCTATTTTATATTATTTCTGAATTTTGGTAAAAATTTTATGAAAATCGGACGACTATATCTTATAGCTGCCATAGAAACGATCGGGAAATTAATAGGAAACAATATATAACTTCGTTGTTTTTCAAAGTATTTTCATCTACTGAGGTATAAGCTTATTTTATTATTCTAGAATTTTGATATAAATTTCATGAAAATCGGACAACTATATCATATAGCTGCCATAGGAGCGATTGGTAGATGTAGAGAAAATGTAAAGGTGTGAATGTAAAACTGTAACTGTCAAACTGTAAACATAATAAGTATAGGTAAAATGTAATGAAATAATATCTGCAAGGGTATACAAACTTCGGCGTGCCGAAGTTAGCTTCCTTTCTTGTTTTCCTATTAATTTCCCGATCGTTCCTATGGCAGCTATATCCTATAGTCGTCCGATTTTCATAAAATTTTTAACAAAATTCAGAAATAAAATAAAATGGCAATATCTAAAAAATGGTGCAAACCTGTTGAAAAACAGCAAAGTTATAATTTTTTTTTTCTACAAATTTATCGAACATTTGTATGGCAGCTATATGATATAGTCGTCCGATCCGGCCCGTTCCGACATATATAGCAGTGAGAGCATATAGAAGACTATATGCAAAGTTTCATTTAGATAAGTTTAAAACTGAGGGACTAGTTTGCGTAGAAACGGACAGACGGACATGGCTAGATCGACTCGGCTATTGATGCTGATCAAGAATATATATACTTTATGGGGTCGGAAACGTCTCCTTCACTGCGTTGCAGACTTCTGACTGAAATTATAATACCCTGCAAGGGTATAAAAAATTAAAAGCATTATATTTCTACTCTTGCATTCTTCGAGTAATGTAAGAAAGAAAAAGTCAATGCATAATGGCTCTGTTTTACAAGTTGTTATCAAAACCAAACATGACCCTTTTTTATCATTTTTGTCACCAAAATAATGAATAATCCGTTTTCTCGAATTCTTATTTAAATATTTTGAAAGTTATATGTTTTAGATCAATTTAAACACTTTTTGTTATGACTTACATATATTGAAAACAAAGATTTTAGAGAATTTTTACTGTTTTCATCGCGGTTGCTGTTTCTGGAGAGTTACCCATATTCAGTTTCCACATTGGTTCCATAAGTTCTTATTGCAATTTATTTTATTTTATTAATTTATTATAGAAAATTATGTAAAAAATAAACGTTTTTATTATGAATTGAAAATATTTTAAACAAGAATGGAAGCTAACTTCGCCACGCCGAAATTTGTCTACCCTTGCAGATTTCAATTAGATTATTAACAACCGGATAAGGAGTGTTTTTTAAAGATATGCTCCGACTTACATCAGGTGGCCATTGGCAAGGATAAATAGATGTCTTAAGATATTGTTTTTATTTAAATATAAGGACATTTCAAAATGCAAGAAGGGTGGCGGCGAAGTGGTTCCCAGTCTAAACCACGAAGAGCAAACAAAAGAAACGGTTTCTGTACCGAACAATATTCGAGTATGGACCGAACCAGAGATACATATATATGGAAGTTTTGCGGTGTAGGGATCATAAAATTTCCTAGACCATCGTTTTACAAAAGCAAAAAACCCTTGGGTAAATAAATCTCCAAGATCCGTTACAGAAAGGATACATTCCAGAACACTCGTTCCTATGAAATAGTTGGCATTGAAACAATTTCTGCGGTACAACGACATGTATTTACATTTAGAGTTGTTAAGAAACAGCAAATTGTGAGTGCACCAGGACAACATGTTGTTCAAATCAGCTTGCAAAAGCTTAGGAGAATCAGGATTCGCAAGAGGCAAACAAATATTTTCGAAAAATCAATCAATATTAGAAATTAAAAAAAAAACTTTATATTCGGAAATAGCTGATTTATTTACAGGGAAGGAAGGGGGCCGTAATGCCGATTAAGAATATACAGCTGTGTTCACTGAAATAGCAGTGCGACAGAGGAACAACTTCAAAACCTTTTTTTGTACATATTCCTTTTTGCTAGCTGATCTATTGCACATTGTTTTTGTAAAATGGAACATAAAGATAAGAATCGAGAACAAATTCCGTTAGATTTGCTCTATTTTTATGTTTTATTGATATTTTTTCACATATGCAGCTCGTTTTGGCCGATCACTGAAATAGCAGTATTTAATTTTCTTTCGCAAAAAGTGCCGAAATTTCTTTTAATTTTGTAAAAAATGACTTTAATTAAGGTCGTTATTATAGTTTATACTATAATACACCTTTACAACGCAAAAAAAATTATTTTAGTGGGCGCAGGACCTCACTGCTCCATGATAGAAAGGTATCAGATTACTTAGCCTAGAAAGAAGAGCAAAACATGTAAAGAGTCTCTAAATCTTTCAAATTGTTCTTTTAAAATAGTTTATAAGTCATAAAATATGAACCGAACCCAAAAAAACCGAGGTACGATTCGCAAAACCACAATTATACAGGCTCGACGCGTACTTCGCTTCAGCAAAGCTCGTCCTTTTGCATCCTCTAGGGATATGTGAGCGGGAATTGGCATGGGAATCAGTCATGGGACCATTCGCCGGGGACTTATTGAATAAATTTTAGATTCGCGAAGTCCATGGAAAATGTCACTGCTTGGTTAAAGGCATATCAAGGCAAGATCCGAGTTCGCCAATAGCCACTTGAACTGCCAGTATTCAAATGGCGTAATATACTTTGGACAAATGACTCCAAACTGGTTTTATTTGGTGGAATAGGACAAGACAAGACCTCCAAATAGATAGTACCCCCCAAACCATACGCTGAAGACAGTAAAACACGGTGGCCCAAAAATCATGGTTTGGGTATACTTTTCATACAACGTTGTAGGTCCCGTATATATGATCGGTGGGATCAAAGACCATTATGTTTATGTCTAAATATTAAAAACTGTCTTGCAGCCGTATCCTGATGAAAATATGCCATTAATTTGGACATTTCGGCAGGACAGTGATCCTTATCATACCAGCAAGGTGGCCAAGGAGTGGGTTCTTAAAGAAAAGGTAGATGCAATGCCATGGCCTGCACAGTCCCCGGATATTATTCCGATCGAAAACTTATGGGAGACATCAAGGGCTACGTATTAAAGAAGTTTCCGACTTCTAAGCCGCAGCTTTGGCGATTTGTGCAGGAGGAATGAGACCATAATCCCCTCAAGCGTTGCTAAGACTTGGTGGACTCCTTGCCACCCAGGTATTAGGCTATGATAGCTTCTAAAGGCTATTTAACAAAATATTAGATCATAGTCAATTAGAATTTAAGAAGAAATAGGTTTCTTATACGATATTTTTAAATTTATGAAGAATTTTAGTTTTTCACTGCTATTTCAATGATCGGCATAATATAGACCTTTTTTGTTGTTATTAGCTATATCTTCTATAAGGTTTATGTTACCTAAATTAAATGATTGTGGTATTGTTAATAATTAAATACACTAAGCCTTAATGAAAATTTTTTTTATGGAAATAGCGTTTGTAACAGTATTTTCCAATCTTAAACGTGCAGGTCCGTGGGCACTGCTATTTCAGTGAACACAGCTGTACATACATATATGTATACTTTATATCAGTGTTTAAAAAACTGCAGTCGAATTAGCATAAGTCACAATATTTTTGCTTTTCACTACTTCAACTGCGAGCGATATCATAAAATGAAAAAAATCATTCTGCTTCTGCTTCTGAACAAATCAGAAGTCGCAGTCAAAGCATAGTCAAAAATCAAACAGCGACCAAAATCAAAAATCAGCAGCAGTCGCAACTTTTCGTTTTCTTGCTTTCGGCTTTGCTGTTGCTTTCGTCGTAGACGTAAGTCGATGCTGTGGCATGCGTCGACTTTCGGAAGTCGAAAAATAACACAATAAATCAAAAATGCGAGTAATTCAATATCAATAAAAACAAAATTAATTAAAATAAAAACATAAAAACAGTGTTAATAAACTTATTAATTTTTAATTTTCAAACAGTGGCAAGGTGTCAATGGCCACATCCAAAAAGCATTTTTGATTTATTGTGTTATTTTTCGTATAAAGTTTATATGGTTAGAAACCGAGTCCTGTTTTGCGCTGAAAACTTCTAACTAAAATTATAATATGTTCCAAGGGTATAAAAACATGTAGTTATCTTGAATAACTAATATATATACATCAATAATATATTGGCCATTCACTTTATAAACTTTATTAAGACGTAAACTTTAAATTTTTAAATCAAATTGAAAACAAAATGAAACCAATATAGATTAATATATTTTAATTTCAAAGTTTTCTTTATATGAAATCACATCATTTATCTTAAAGATTTTAAATCAAAAGAAAACATTTCATTTTCAAATAAACAGCTCTACTTGTAGCTTACCTTTACGATATAGAAGAGAAAATTAAAATATTTTTACATTCTCGTTCCAGAGAGCTTGGATCACATTAACAACACCAACGAGCTGGACTTTTTGGTGGAGGCCTGGTCTACTTGTCGGCACGCGGATGGATATGACTTCAAGCGTTTACTGGGTGATTTCTACGACAATATTGGGCGGCGCAGTCGTTTCCTGTCAGAAGCCTCGTGAAAGAACACGGAAGCCCACTTAGCAACATAAGATTCCCATAAGTTTAAGAAAACGACATTTTAATTTTGAATTTGATGTTATTTTTATTTGAAAAATGTTTTCTTTTTAGTTTTGTATTTGTTATCGCCTTGCTTCTTGTCAAAAACAAATCTATAATCTGTAAAGAAATTACAAAAATTGCAATTTTTGTTTTTATTTTGTCATTGGTTGCTTTTGTTCTTAGTTCTTTTTTTAATTGTTTTTTTTTCGTGTTTGCTTTGCACATTTATTTGTTAAAATTTGACCCATTTTGTTGACCTTTGCTATATTTGCTCATCGATTTGTTGCTCTTGTTTTTCGCTTTCTGACTTTTTGTAGCAAAACAAAACTTAATTGTAATTTGACTACAACAACATTTTGTTTTTGCCCATTATATAATATTTAATTGTATATATATATATGTATATATATATATATAATATGCAATTCTGTAGCTAGATTTTGACATACACGTTCTCGTACCCAATCTCGAATTACTATATATGGTGTGTGTGTCTTCTTGTGTGGTGTCTATAACATGCGCTCTCCTCTCTGCTTTTTGTTTTATAAACAAATGTATGTCTTTCTGCCCTTTCCTCGGTTGCTCCTCCTCCGTTTATTCCGAAACTAAGTTAACTTAATAATTGCATACTTTTAGGCTAGGCTAGTAAATGGTTTTCCTCCTTTCAAAACGCTTAATGCACTTTTTTGTATTTGTATTCTCATTTGCTGCTTATTCTTAGTGTTTGTTAATCTTTTTTAATTAGTTCTCGTCGAGCCTGGTGAGCGACAAAGAACCTTGTGTGTGTGTGTGTTGCAGTTGCCACGAATTCCAATTAAAATGGTTAGCTGTGGTTTCTCCTTAGTTTAATGCTAAATTTTTACTTAGAAAAATGTTCAACTCGTAAATTGAGTTTTTATTTATTTTTTATTAAAAAAACTGTTCCCTCCATTTTTGGTTTTTAATTCCATATATATTTTCATATTTTTTGTTTTCCTTTAATGCTTTTTCTTGTTGTCAATTGTTTCTGTATCTTGTTTGGGTTTAAACATTTTTGCTGTTGTGCTTTACACTTAATTATTGCTATAATTATTTGCTTTTTATTGGCGCCCGAGGAGGGATGCTCCTCTGGAAACGAATGAGACTGTGGTTTGTGTGTGTATGTGAGTGTGTAAAACTGAAACCATAGCTAGGAAAAAAGGCCTGCGGGTCAAGCACGATCGGTTACAATAGATCGAATCTCTAGAAAATAATGATTGTAAAGCGATTTTCATATTTACAGCAGCGTGCACTTGCGTGATAAATAGATATACATGTAGATATATAGATATGGATGATCTATAAGCTGAGCGATAGGATACTTTAATAAAAAATTAAAAAATGAGGCGGTGTTTTTGTTTTTGTTTGCAAATAAGTTCGGGTTTTTATTACACAAAATAGAATACTAAAAATGAAATCGAAACTACTTAAAAGATATGCATGTGTGTGGGGGTGTGTTTATGTGATAATTACTAGAAAACGTCTTTGTAATCGTAGGTTTTTGTTTACATAATTTATGCTAATTAAAATGTACACAGGTAAAAATAATTTCATTGTTTAATAAATGGTTTTCCTTTACACTTAACTGTTTCTTTAAACTTAAGCCTAGCGAAAATCAATTGTATTTTTTGTGGTGTGTGTTGGTGTTGGTGAGTGTAGAAAGCTTTCCCTTTGTTGTTTGTTTACAATCATTTTTTATTATTAATTTGTACACATTTTTCGTTTAAGTATATTTCATAGTTAGAAAATTGGCTATGTGAGTGGTGTTTCTCTTGCTTTTCTTCTTTTCGTGTATTTTGAAAGTGTGAAGTTAAAAGTTTTAACATAGACAAGACCAGACAACAAAATATTTAAAAGAAACTCAAGACACTAATTAAAAAAGAAACAAAAACACACACTGTTTCCTAACGCTCATCCTAAACTCTAGCTCCTGTTGTTTGCACTTAGTTCTACTACTCCTTCATTCTTCTTGATCTGCGCTTTGCGTCCCAGATATATATATATATTGTTTTTATATATGCAAATTTACAGTATACCGTTTTCGTGTTATGTATATGTTTTTGTTTTCTTTGTTGCTTCCATCGACTCTCTTTGTTTTGGGCTGTGTGTTCTTAAGCTTTTGGGGGAAGAGGGTTTCATTTTGTATATAATTTAAATTTAAACTAATTCTCTCGCCTTGCACACACAAAAATTTACACAATTTATTTGATTTAATTTATTAACCTTACGCCTCCTCCTCTACTCTCCCAATTTGTTGTAAACTAAACACTAATTAATTACACTTTCTGCTTGTTTTGCTTACTCACGAAATTGGTTGTAAATATGTACAAACTTTTGTTACTTAACGGCTAGCTATTAATTAATTTCTCCAATCTCCGCTATTAGATATATATATATATATGCCTACGTTGTGTGGTTTGTTTGTTTGTTTGTTTTTCGCTTTTTGCTAACCTCTCTCATCTTGTTTTTTGTTTCTTGTAAATTTATAAATATTAAACACTAATCGGATAATATATATATATATGTATAAAAAAATAAAATGAAACAAACAATTCTCGCACACACTTGACACATTTTTACAAAATTCTCGACAATTAATAAATATTAGTAATGCTGTTTCTAGACTTCCCATCGGTGTGAACGATAATCGATAATCGATGACCTCCTTGGCTCACTCTCTGTCTCTCTGATCGCTCTGATTGGTTGTTTAGTTTTTAATATTTTAGTTTTCTTGTTTCGTGCTGATTATGCTAAGTAATCTGTGCGTTGCGTTCACTGCCTGCTTGTTTGCTGTTGTTTTTGTTGTTGTGGTTATTGCTGTTGGTGTTTTTTGGGTTCTGTTAACTTCAATTCTTGGGTTGCTGTAGACCTTTTACTAGTTTTCTACAGCTTACTGTTGTTGCTTTGGGTGCTGATATAATAGAGCTAGTGGAAGTTTTGCTAAAAGGAAGCATGCGACTGCGTTTGATTGATTGAGTTTTTGAGTAGTGGTTGTGTTTGTTGTTGTTATAGTTTTGATCCCAGATCCTTAGGCTATGGCTGCCGTCAGATAGTACAGATCCATCAGAGTCTGCACATTGATGGGCAGACAAGAAAGGCGATCGTGCGTATTGGAGTCGAGGGCCAGCCATGACAGGGCATTGTAGCCCTCGAGTACGAAGCGCAGCACATCCGCGGTGAGAATGGAGTCCAGCGGATGATCATTGGCCGACTGATGGGCATTGGTCGAGTTGAGGATATCATCGGCTGTCTGTATACTAGGCACATGCAGGTGAAGCGCCGTCTTGAGGAAAACGGGGCACACATCCTCCAGATGGGGGCAGGCGGACCAAAACCAAGCGGGCATACGGCCGGTGGGCGCTGTGGAAACCATGTAGCCTACGGATATCGGTTGCTGATTGAGTGAACCAACCTGGGGAATCATTAGGTAAATCAGCATATATCCGGAAAGTACTTAAAAGCATTAACTTACCTCCTCCACTTCCTGGGGCGGGGTACACTTGAAGTTATTTCCACCGGTACTCTGCCAGCTTCTATTGTCGTCCATGCGTCCGGGACTGCCATGATTGGAAACCCTGTCTATGTGAGCTGGAAAGGTTAGGGGAAACTTATTAACTGTTGTGCGATTACAGAAAATGATCAAGCACTTACTGTCCCATAAGAATTCGTTAATGTCGGCATCGCTGAAGTCTTCGTTTCCCTCCTCCTCGAAAGTAAGAAAGTCATCATCCACTTGCGGCTCGTTCTGGAACTGGCGGGTAAAGGGCTATGGAAGGATGATAAAAAAAAATCATTAAAATCATTCAAATCAATGTATAAAATGCTTGTTAATATGCCTTCAATATAACGTTACCGTTACAGCTGGAAATAATATCGATCCTAAAATCGATGAATCGATTTTTTAAATTATGCAATACATCGATTTAATCGAAATAATCGTGGAAAACTTAAGTACAAAGTTCAACATTTTGTATATACTAAAATTAATTATAGTTTGTGTTCTTGAGAATCAGAAAATTTTGGAATTAGGCATTCCGGACTCTCTTGGCTGACCTCGTAATTTTATTTTATAATTTTATGTGTACGATGATATTAAAAGGGGGAAACAGAAGTTATTATTAAGTTATTACTTAAATACAAATACCGATAGATAAACAGTGTAGAACAATAAAATTACAAATCTATGATGATGATTTTAAAAATATTTTAATTATCGATTTTAATCGATTGATTTCCAGCTGTTTTTACCGTATATGATTATAATCGAAATTCTGTTTAATTAATGAATGTAAACGAAAAAGAGACAATTGCAAAGAAAATTAAGAATATTTGTTTCCATATTTGTTATAAGCGATTCTTCAAATTTAAATATATTAAACTTTTACAATATTAGTATTTGTTTGTTAATTTTAAATTTCGAAAGATTACATTTTACAATATTTTTAATTATTTCATATAGGACTTTTTCAGTATATATCCCAAAAAGAGCGCAATAAAAACAGCTCAACTGTGAATCGAGAACAAAATAATCGACTTACCGCACAAACAGCGCTGGTGGGAAAGACCAGAATGTGTGTACAGGTCACATCCTGTGGGGTCGACAACGGATTCTGCATGGATATCTGCGAGAAGCGTTCATCCGGCGTGAACTGATCGGGCATTACGCGCAGCTTGGCATCCGGCTCCAGGGTCACCAGACACGCACTCAGTATCGTTGGTGGGTACATGAGAGTGCACTGCTTGCACATGTCCTTGAACTGCTTGGAGGCCTTCTGCAGCTGCTGCTTGCTCAGCAGATAGCTCCACGACTTCAGTTCGCTATGTCCAATGCGCCCAATACGTCCAATGACCAGACGCCACATTTGCGACGTCTGCGAGATGAGTCCCATGATGAAGTCCATCAGCTTCTTCAGCGCCACATAGCGTGCAGGTGCCTTGCGTCGCCTCGCACGATTCGGCACATCGATATTGATGCAGACCTTTTCCAGCAATTCGCCCCGCTCATCCGTGGCGGTGGCCAGCAGCCAGGCCTGGTCCTCGCTCAGGCAGTAATTGCAATACATCACCGAGTAGCGGTGCTCGTTCTGGCCATGCATGCTGCCCGCCGATCGCGTAAAGTCCGTCTTGTCGTTCCTTTCATGCATAGGCGCCAGGACAAAGGGTGCGGTGTACATCTTGTAGGCCCTGCGATTCGGTTCGTCCTTGGTCTTCAAGAAGGCCTCCATATTGGCTGCCGTCCCGAAGCCCGTCAGACTCTTCACAGACTGAGCGTGCACCAAGTGCCGTCGGCACTGCGAGAAGATGTTCAGGGCGAGGCACTTGATCTCGTCGGAAAAGCGCTTGCGATTGCCACAAGGTCCCAGTTCCATCACCGATTCCAGCGATATAATCTGGATGCTCATCTGCGAACGCACCGAGTCGGGAACGGCTTTCAGGAGCTCCGAGTAGCAACGGAGCAAAGCAATCAGGGCCAAACGTTCCAGCTCGCAGCTATCCGAAGCGAAGGTGAATGGATTGACCACATACAGGACTATGGCTGGTGGATTGATATCCTCCAGAGTCTCGCCCACGCCCAAGGGATCGCCGAGAATAAGCGCGGGTTTGGTGTCAGCTGCGGAGCCTCCTGCAGCTCCTGCGCCCTTGCCAACTGTTCCAGGCTCCTGCTTAACCTCCTGCTGCGGATTAGCTTCCATCGTCTGCACGGTCGGCGGCGGCTCAGTTCCCGGTTCCAGCTTAATGTTATCCGTGGGCATTTCTCCACTGGAGGTGGCCAAGTTCGACATAGAGGAGGAGGACGAGGACGATGTGGAGGAGTTGCTGCTGACGCCGTTCTTGGAGTTGGAACTACCAGTGCCATCGGGAGGATTTAGCAGCGTCTTGTCATTAGGCACGCGACTCAAATATGGGGCCAGTTGGTGGATGAAGGTAATAGCATAGCGTCGGATTTGCTCCGCCAGAGCGGCATGCTCCAGGGTACACAGCCAATCATCCAGGGGCGTCGTCTCACGGTCCCGAACGGAGCCAGCGGAAGCGGCACCCACCTGCAGGATGCCGTCCCAGCCGCGAATGGGCGTGTGCCGTCCCAGCTTGCACATCTCGTAGGTGCTGCTCAGCTCGCGGAAGTAGCTGCGCGTGCAACCCACCACGTGCTCGTTGTCTGGACAGACCACCACGTAGACCACGTCGCGGGCATAGGAGTACGGCTCGAGGAGGAACTTGTCCCAATAGTGGATCGAGTGCGGCGCCACCGATATCCAATCCTTCTCGTAGCCAACCACCACCGAGGGTATGGGCTGCGGCTCGCACTGGCCGGACGCCCGTCCAGCCAGGCGATGGAACTGCCGCCAGGTGAGCGGCCCACTGACCGTGTTATAGGAGCTGGCGTCCTTGGAGCCGGACCCGCCTCGCGACTTGCAATGAAAGGCACTCTGCAGCATCGGCTGAATGGCATTCATGGTGCGCACAATTTCCTTGTTGCTTCGCGTGAATCCTACGGGGAGATATGGCCATTTGTGTACGGTCAGCCGCCCTGCGCCGATCCCCGCCAGCTTGTGTCGCAGCGCCAGTGGCGGGGCATGGAACGCCGTGAGCTGCTGCTGTTGGTTCTGCGAGCTGCTGCTTCCGCCGTTCCAGTCCAGGCTATCCATGCGCTGGTTCTCAAACGCCAGGCGGGCTTGCTCCAGCGCCAAGCTGATCACGTCGTGCGCATCCATGAACTCGAGAACATTGGCAATTGAGGCCAGGGAGGCGGTGGGTGCTCCATTTGTGCCGAAAATCCTTCTCTGCCGCGACATTCTGCGACGATGCGCCTGCAGGGCTCGGTGCACGGAGCTGCTGGACGTCTGGATGATGGAGCACTGGTCTAGCAGCAGGTCAAAGATGGCATGCGCCAGATGCTCCAACTGTGCCGCTCCTGCTCCCGCTGCTCCTACCTTCTCCAGAGCGGAACTGGTCTCTCCCGGCGCCTGAATCCCCTGCTGACTCTTCCTGCTCAGACTCTGTATGATGCTAAGCAGAGTTGGCTGCTTGTTCCTAGCCGGATCTTCGGCCAGTCCCGTAATCTCCACTTCGTCCTCGTAGAATAAGCCGGCGCGATGAGAGAGCCGTCGATTGACGACCGCACTAAAGCCGCATGTACACTCGACGGGGTCGTCGTCCACATAGCCGGTGATGTGCGGATTACTGCTGGGCGGCGTGCAAGACGATGACGAGTTGGAGCCACCGCCGTTTGGGCCGTGGCCGCCATGTCCGGAGCCAGCTCCGGGCATCGAGGCGGCAGAGGCCGGTGAGCCCCCAAAGGCACTACTGATCATCCGCAGGCCACCAAAGGCGGCAGCACCAGAATTGGGTCCATTGAGCATGCGCTGTCCGCCGGCTGCAGTCCCTCCTCCGCCTGGTCCTGCCGCTCCTGCTCCCGCACCTGCTGGTGCTCCAGGAAACGGATTAAAGCTGACGCCGGGCAACGGAACATATACACCGGAATCCGCTCCACGAATATTGCCAATCTTCTGTGTATCCGCATTGCATACGCACACGCTGCTGCTGTCAAAGTTGTGATCCCGGAAGACATTCAAGGCGGTGTCGTACAGCAGAATATTGACCAGCACCGAGTTCACTTCCGGCAGCTCCTGGAGCAGGCTCGCTCCTGGAGAATTCACCGCCGCCAGCCCACCACTACTGGCAATGCCCGCATCGCCAGAGTAGGGCATCATCATGCCCATGTGGCTGCCAGTTCCCGATGCCGGTCCCATGCCGACCACTCCTCCGCCACCGCTACCTCCGCCTCCCATCATGCCGCCGTGCATGCCCTGAGGATGTTCTTGCGAGTGCAGCGGTCGGTTCAAGTACGAGGATGTGGAGGTTGCCGGACTGCCAACGTCATACGGATACGGCGGCGGCGGATGCGTGGGCGTTCGCAGGAGGGCCGGACTCCTGGAGAAGGGTCCATGGCCCGGTGATATCGGCGACATCCCCGCTCGCATCATCTGCTGCATCGAGCTACCCGGCGTCGCCTGCGGGCAATTCAACTGATTCAGCAGCAACTGGTTGCCGCCACTGCTCAGGGGTTGCGGCACCGTTGTCGACGGGGTCAGCGGTGTCCTTGGCGCCGCCGATAGCAGATCGTGCAGATGCTGATGCTGATGCTTCTGATGGCCGCCTCCAGAAGCCGCCGCTGCCGCTGCCGCAGCTGCCGCCGCTGCTGCTGCCGCTGCCTGCTGCTGCTGAAGATGCTGGTGCTGGAGCTGCTGCAGTTTTTGCTGATGCAATTGGATGCGCTGCTGCAACGCCTGATGCTTCTGATGCTGCTGCTGCTGGGCCGCAGCTGCCTTGGCCAGCGTAGCCGCTCTGGACTTGTGGCTGCTCCAGGTGGGCTGATAAAAGCATCCCGGTGGCAGGTTCAACGGCGGCTGCGTCTGGCTGGGCAAGTTGGTTAGCGGAGCATAGCGCGTGGAGCCGACAAATTTCTCCTGCTGCGGCGGCCGATACACATAGTTCCAATCATCGATGGCCTCCTCCACGGGACTGCCCAGCTCCAAGTTGGAGATACTGGTCTGCTGGATGGCGGCCATCACGGTGATGGGAGCAGCCTGCACGGCAGCCAGGATAATACTGCTGTTGGAGGTGGTGTTGATGCTGTTGCTGTTGCTATTGCTATTGTTGCAGGTGGCGGTGTTGATACTACTCGCAATGGTGGTGTTGCAGGTGTTGGTCATACTGGTCGTGGTCGTGGTGATGTCCACACTGAGATCCGTCATTACCACATCAGTTTGGCAGGGACTGGAGTTCGGGTGCTGCTGTTCGTGCGACGGCGGCGTGGGAAACATTTTAGTGAGATCCTCCGCTTGAATATTGCCAGCTCCTCCCGTGACAGCCGCTGCTGCTGCCGCTGCCACAACACTGTTCACCGCCGTGCTCCGCTTGAGCTCATCGATGGTGTTGGTCACCGCACTGCATCCGCCGTTCGAGGGATTATTGGAATCGGGCGGCGTGTGTATCTGAACGCTGCTGCACTCATCGTTGGAGCTCGTCTCGAACAGCTGTTCCAGATCGTTCAGCGAGGGATTCAGACCCTCGGCGGTGAATAGATTGCCACCGCCACTTCCGCCGCCACTGCTGTTGCCGCCCGATGATTTCGAGGTCTCCTTGCACGATGGGGAATGTAGTCCTGGCTCCGTCTTGATGTCCAAGCCCTGGAAAAAGCTCCCCCCGCTTTCGGATTCCGTCGCATCGCTGCCATTGGCTGTATTGCTGTTATTGTTGTTGCTGCTGCTGTTGGCGATTCCAACCAAGCCGCCATTGGAGCTTCCGGCCGACGCAGCTGAGGCCGCGGCTTGAACCTCCAAGGAGAGCAGCTGGTTGCCATAGACAGAGCCAGGCGATGGCATTAGTGGCTTCACATGCGTGTGTCCCTCGTAGAGGTTCTTGGAATAGCGCGGCCTTCGCTGCTTGGAGACCTCGTCCAATTTGGGACGCTTCACTGGAAGGTTATCCCTGTGTAGACAAATAAATGGGCATTAATATTGTGAATGTTTTTTAACCAAGTTTACGAACAGAATCAACATTTCTCTTCAAGATTTTGGGTTTCTCTTGGCTGACTCACCAGTTCTCCTGGTACTGAAAATCGTAGACGACCTCCTTGAGCCACTCCTCGTCGTAGAAGCTGTCCGGATCCTTCAGCGTCAGCTTTGGCGGATTGTACAGGCTGCGCAGGTTGTTCAAGGCCTCCGTGGTAGAGGTAACAGTACTGGCTGGCAACCTCCCTAGGCTCCCGATCCCTGGCTCCTGCTTAATGGTCATCGTAGCTGCCGTTGGCATCTGCTGCTGCTGCTGCATCTCCAGCTTTTTCACGCTTATGGTGCCCACTGTGCTGGCTCCGCCGCTTGTGGTCGCCGCTGCTCCGCCAACGGCAGACGTTGCCGTGGCTGTTGGAGTTGCCGGCTGCTGTGCAGGTACACTGCCCGGACCAGTGCCGCCAAGCGAAGGCCCATTGCCACCGGCTGCTCCGCCGGCTGAGCCAGCATGATCCGTGTAGGACGGCGGCTCCACGCTGGGCGTCTGATGGACATAGGGCGAGGCCGTGATGCTCTTGTTATCGTGCTGGTCCGTAGGCGTCGGCGCCGGCGTATTCTTGTCCAGCAGGTGGTCGATGGGGGTCGGCGGCTGCTGCAGATTCGAAACGGAAGTGGGCGCATGTGGACTCATGTTGAGCAGCTGTCAGGAAGGGAAAAATGAGTCGGTGGTTAGTGGAATCAGCGGACTGGATGCTGCGTCATTTGCTTCTTGGGTCGTCACTTGCACTCACTTGCTCTGCGGGCGGCACTGACGTCGGCTGCGAATGCGCCGAATTCGGATGCGGAGAGGGAGCCGGCGTGGCGGGGGATTCCACAGAGGCCACCGGCATCGAGGAGTCGCCGCCCAACGAGTTCCGAGAGTACGTCGATGCGCCGCCGTGTGGCGTTCCATGTGGCGTATTCCCGAGATGTCTGTGTTTGAGCAAAGAGAGAGAAAGTGTGATATTAGCATTTCCAATTTCAAATACATTTTATCGAATATTTTATTTCGGTTTAAAAAGGTTATGTACAATGCTCGAAACTACGGAAAGAATGTAACTATGAATACACAGGTGAGCTTGTTGTGTATTAATCAATTGAAATAATAATTATAAGAATAATAATAATAATAATAATAGTAATATTAATATAATATAATGTTGTTGAGGGGCAACTCCAGCAGAGGAGTGTCCCAAAAGAGTAACCAAAAGCAAAACTAAACAATAACCACATCCATTGTTTTTAGGTTTTAAATAAATTAAACGAAACCTTTTTACAGCTGAAAAATATGCGGGGATGTTAATAAATCGCTAGAGTTTGGGTGTGTTGAAAGCAGGCAAATATTAAAAAGGGAATTATAAATCGAATCCATCAGTACAATGTGTTATTCGAATAGACTAACAGGGAAATCTCAACTGGAAACACTAAGAATGGCAGAAATCGTAAATATATTGATACTCTATCGATATTTTAAAGCGCGTCGATATCTGAACTTTGCAAGATAGTATATGCGCTAAATGGATATTCAGTTTGATACATCGAACTGTGACAAATAATAGTTGAAAATTAGTATTAACTATCATTGTTTGAAAATAAGTTTTAAAACAAATAAATGAAATTAAAAATTTCTGATATTATTTCGATAATATCGATATAAATCGATATCTTAAATACTATAATTAGCACGATATACTTGCCAATATCGGACTTATTCTCTCACTATAAGAAAGGCTCAACTGAGAGCTTTTTAAAAGTAAGGTAAAATGTTCTATAGTTATTTGCGAAAACCGGGATTATACCCTCTCTATTGATTTTTTATTAACAACCCCCTCTGTTTCCATAATAATAATATACATTATATATGCAATTGTTATTTACGAAATAAACCAGCAAACAAAATCAAAATCATTCCACAAAATGCTTAAAACCTTAAAAAGGAGAGAAAACAAAACAAAATAAGAAGGGATGCATGCGCGGCGCCAAAACCGAAAAATACGCAAACCGAGCATCGCACCAAATCGAGTGTACTTGCTACACGGGCCATGAGTAAATGAGAACGGCAATGAAGGCGGATTGGAGGGGGCAGTTTAAAGATACTAAGCTAGTTAAATGCTACGAAACGTGTTGTATATGTCCTCCGTTCGGAGCTATTGTACAATTGGTTATTATTTTTCGTTGTTGCTGCTTGCAGTTGTGTGTTGTTCTTTTTTTTTTTAGCGTTGCTCTTTTGTTTTATTTTTGTAATGTTGCTAATTTACCATTTACCAAAGACGATTAAGTGAATTAGAATTAGAAGTTTGTTATTTGCAAAATGACGGCGCACGAATGCTGCTTGTGGGTTTTTTAAATTAAATTTGTATAAATATATTGTGTGTGGTGTGTGTGTGTGTGTGCTGACTCCTCTTATTTTTGGGGGCGTGGTGAATTTGGATGCGCCCTTTTTTTAACAAAAAAAATATATATGATTCCAGTGTATTTGTTAGGGGGGGAGGGCGCCCAAAATTAAATGCTCAAAACCAACCAACAAAATAATAAAACGTAAGAAATCATAGGGTTAACAGAGCGTGTGTGAAGAGAGTGGATAGAAAAGGAATATATATATATAAATGCATATATTTATATATGCTTATATGGAGAAAGAAAGAGCGAAAGTAGGAGATACGGGTGGCGTGCATACAGTTGCGGTGGAAATATTAGTTTAACTACCTTTAGCAATCGTCTGATAATCTCTTTAACATAATCTATATTCGCTTATGAAATTATTTGAATTGGTCTTTTTCTTTCCAGAGAATCTATATATTACTTGAATAGTTAGAGAAGTTTTAAAACTTTACACTTATATTTAAAATGTTCATGTACAAATTGATTCAAGTATAGTTGCAATTAAATATTTAAACATTCAAGATAAAAACTCTATGTATATAATTCGTAATTCTAACCATTTCCACCTCAACTGTATGCAAAAAGAGATAAACAAGAAGTGAAAAACTGAAGAGCGTATCAACAAAAGATATAGGCAGCACTGGCTATAATGAACACACGCCAACCAATATTATTATTTGCACTTCACACTCGCAACACTCAACACACAAACCTTTGTTTTGGTATATTGGTGTCTGTTGTTGTTGTTGTTGTGGTGGTGTTGTTATTGTTGTTGCTGTGATTTTTGGGTCTAAAGGTGGCCGTGGAGGCGGTGGACGCCAGCGAATGGAGAAATCGCTTGTGGAACGGCACATTGTGACGCCGATGGAGGAGAGAAGCGGTCGCGGAAGAATTCAAGGCGGAGGAAGTAGTGATGATGTTGCTCAGGGAACTGGAATGATGCGATGTTGCCGGCACAGGTGTTCCCGGTCGCTGTTGCTGTTGCTGCAGATGTTGCTGGTAGTAATGTTGCTGGTACGTGGAGGATGACGATGATGACGACGACGACGACGACGACGACTTATTACCACTAATGCCGCCGGTGACTGCTGCTCGCAATGCTGGCGATCCCAGCGGTTGCTGCAGTCGCTTGTTGCTGCTGTTGCTAATGTTGCTGCTACCACAGATGTTACTGCTGCTGCATTGGGCGCTGAAATTTGTTTGTTTGGGTATTTTTTGTTTTTTTTATATACACTAAGCAACACTTTTCAACGTTTCAATGCTTTCGTAGCTCTGTCTCTCTCTCTGACTGCTGTTTCTTTTATTGCTGCTGCTGTGTGGTTTTTTAAGTAACTCAAAGAAAAACTATATATAGATATATGAAGACAACGAAAAACAAAAAAAAAAAACGGAAAAGGGGAAAATCTATGGCCTTTTTGCATGCACAGATAAAACTGCCTACTTTTTGCTTTGCTAAAATAGGTAAAGGTATTTTTTAGGCATGCCATCAAAGCGGGATTTTAGGTTTTAAGATTGCTTTTAAGGGCTCTCTTTTCCAGGGAGCACAACTTGTCCCCTACATCAATCATAATTATTAATATATCAAATATCAAATATGTATCGTATATATAGAGATTATATATCAAAAATACACTAAGTAGAGGCAGCCAAATGGGTCACAAAATATTAGAAAAAGGTTTCCAAAGCCATACTTTAGCGTTCTCAAATTTATATATAATATTATTACATATTTCACAACTAAAGTAGGCTTTTAAAATCCTTTTAGAATATCCTTTGAGGATAGAAAAAACAGTCTCTACAGTTTTTGGGGACTTTCAAAAGATCTTAACAAAACCACACTTACTTGGTGCATATGCAGGGCGCCTTTTGCATGGGATCCACAAAGTTCCAGAGCTTCTGACGCTGCTGTTGTTGTTGTTGCTGCTGCTGCTGCTGAATCTGCTGCTGCACCAGGTGTTTGGAATCCTGCTGCGGCGGTTTATTCTGCTCATCCTCATCGTTAGCTGCAGCCGTCCCTGTTCCAGTTCCGGCGGAAGGTGTTGAGGACGCGGCTGCCGCCGATGCCGCTGCATCCACGTGAAGCGTGTTCATAACGCAATCCTGCCACGCTCGCTCTGGCATTTCCACGGCAGCCGAGGCGGGGATATGAGTATTGTTGGTGTTGAAGGTGAAGCCCGAAGTGGGCCGTTGATCGTAGTAGGGCTGGAAGGCGAGGCGCTCCAGAGCGCTGACCGCTTGTGGAGCTGCCTTACGAGATACATCCTTGGCCGAGGCGGAATTTGCAACTCCTCCCGGGACGTTGAGAGAAGTAGGGCCCGAGGGAACATTTAGAGAAGGCGGAGCAGCGACACCAGCTGCGCCCGGTGGGCAGGACTGCGGGGCCAGAACGGTGGCCTCCGCCGCTCCTCCATTGCCCACGGTGCTTTGCATCTTCTGCATCTCAGCGAACTCCATGTGCTCCATGTCGTCCAGGTCTGTGACTAGTACGTAGTTCGTGGGATGATACATCTTATGACCACCTGAAAACAGAAACGAAGGATTAAAATTTATATATTCAATTGATATTTTATGTTGAATTAGATTAGAGCACTTACCCGACACTACCTCCACAACGGGGGGCACGTCCGTGTTGTCCTTATTGCACAGCGGGAAAAAAGAGGCCCAGTCCTCGAGGATCTTCTCGGCCATGGGATCGCTGGCCTTGTAGCTATTGCCGGTGAGTATCGCCGCGATGCCAAACGGGGCCAGCATCACCTTGCGCGCATGCGCTGGTGTCGCAGCCTTGGCAGCTCCTCCCTCGCCGACCTCCAGTGGCTCCGAGCCGTTGCCATTTGGCTCCTGGCCCGGACTAGGCACTGCTGCTCCACCACCCGTCGTTGCCGCCGATGCTCCCGCTGATCCCGACGGTGAACTGGTCGCTGCAAAGGCGGCGGCCGCCTCAGCCAAGTGTTCCTTGGTCAACGGACGCACAGCGGGATGCTCGCGCAGATCTATCGAGGCACAAACCGTGTCCCCGTGCACGAAGAACGTGAAGGAGAAGGACAAGTGCTGGGAGCTGCAAAGAAAAATATGGATTATTAGTAAGAAATATCTTAAGCAGAATATATGAGTATATATGGATTTTCCAAATTTGCATGGTACAGAAAACATCAACAGACTAACAAATTTAGTCATAATTTTTTTATGATAAAAGCTAAAATTATCGAAAACCCATAAAAATGTATATAGGTATTATGATTTACGCCAAAAAGAATGACTTCATAAAAGTAAATCCTTATCAATTTCACAATTTAACAAGAAAGGAAGCTAACTTCGGCACGCCGAAGTTTGTATACCCTTGCAGATTGGTTTCGATGTTTATATTATAGATTTAAATGCTGAAAACACTCACAAAACAGAGTTTCAGTACATTTTACCTATACTTATTATGTTTACAGTTTGACAGTTACAGTTTTACATTCCCAGTTTTACATTTTCTCTACATCTACCGATCGGTTTATATGGCAGCTATATGATATAGTTGTCCGATTTTTATGAAATTTATACTATAATTCAAGAATAATAAAAAAAAGCTTATATCTCAGAGTAGATAAACATACGTTGGAAAAACAACGAAACTATAATTTTTTTTCCTATTTATTTCTCGACCGTTCCTATGGCAGCTATATCATATAGTCGTCCGATTTTAATAAAATTCTGAAATAATATAGAATGGCTATATCTAAAAAATGGTGCAAAAATGTTGAAAAACAGCAAAGTTCTAATTTTTTTTCTACAAATATATCGAACATTTATATGGCAGCTATATGATATAGTCGTCCGATCCGGCCCGTTCCGACATACAGCTGTGTTCACGGAAATAGCAGTGCCCAACGACCTGCACGTTTAAGATCGGAAAATCCTGTTACAAACACTATTTTCATAAATTTTTTTTTCATAAAAGCTTAGTATATTTAATTATTAACAATACCACAATCATTTAATTTAGGTAACATAACATTTATATGGCAGCTATATGATATAGTCGTCCGATCCGGCCCGTTCCGACATACAGCTGTGTTCACGGAAATAGCAGTGCCCAACGACCTGCACGTTTAAGATCGGAAAATCCTGTTACAAACACTATTTTCATAAATTTTTTTTTCATAAAAGCTTAGTATATTTAATTATTAACAATACCACAATCATTTAATTTAGGTAACATAAGATATAGCTAATAACAACAAAAAAGGTCTATATTATGCCGATCATTGAAATAGCAGTGAAAAACTAAAATTCTTCATAAATTTAAAAATATCGTATAAGAAACCTATTTCTTCTTAAATTCTAATTGACTATGATCTAATATTTTGTTAAATAGCCTTTAGAAGCTATCATAGCCTCATACCTTGGTGGCAAGAAGTCCACCAAGTCTTAGCAACGCTTGAGGGGATTATGGTCTCATTCCTCCTGCACAAATCGCCAAAGATGCGGCTTAGAAGTCGGAAACTTCTCTAATACGTAGCCCTTGATGTCCCCCATAAGTTTTCGATCGAATTTATATCCGGGGATTGTGCAGGCCCTGGCATTGCATCCACTTTTCCATTAAGAACCCACTCCTTGGCCACCTTGCTGGTATGATTAGGGTCACTGTACTGCTGAAATGCGCAAATTAATGGAATATTTTCCTCAGGATACGGCTGCAAGACAGTTTTTAATATTTAGACATAAACATAATGGTCTTTGATCCCACCGATCATATATACGGGACATAAAACGTTGTATGAAAAGTATACCCAAACCATGATTTTTAGGCCACCGTGTTTTACTGTCTTCAGCGTATGGTTTGGGGGGTACTATGTATTTGGAGGTCGACGGACATATTGTCTTGTCCTATTCCACCAAATAAAACCAGTTTGGAGTCATTTGTCCAAAGGATATTACGCCATTTGAATAGTGGCAGTTCAAGTGGCTATTGGCGAACTCGGAGCTGGCCTTGATATGCCTTTAACCAAGCAGTAACATTTTCCATGGACTTCGCGAATCTAAAATTTATTCAATAAGTCCCCGGCGAATGGTCCCATGACTGATTCCCATGCCAATTCCCGCTCATATATCCCTAGAGGATGCAAAAGGACGAGCTTTGCTGAAGCGAAGTACGCGTCGAGCCTGTACAATTGTGGTTTTGCGAATCGTACCTCGGTTTTCTTGGGTTCGGTTCATATTTTATGACTTATAAACTATTTTAAAAGAACAATTTGAAAGATTTAGAGACTCTTTACATGTTTTGCTCTTCTTTCTAGGCTAAGTAATCTGATACCTTTCTATCATGGAGCAGTGAGGTCCTGCGCCCACTAAAATAATTTTTTTGCGTTGTAAAGGTGTATTATAGTATAAACTATAATAACGACCTTAATTAAAGTCATTTTTTACAAAATTAAAAGAAATTTCGGCACTTTTTGCGAAAGAAAATTAAAAACTGCTATTTCAGTGATCGGCCAAAACGAGCTGCATATGTGAAAAATATCAATAAAACATAAAAATAGAGCAAATCTAACGGAATTTTTTCTCGATTTTTATCTTTATGTTCCATTTTACAAAAACAATGTGCAATAGATCAGCTTGCAAAAAGGAATATGTACAAAAAAACGTTTTGAAGTTGTTCCTCTGTCGCACTGCTATTTCCGTGAACACAGCTGTATATAGCAGTGAGAGCATATAGAAGACTAAATGCAAAGTTTCATTCAGATAGCTTTAAAACTGAGGGACTAGTTTGCGTAGAAACAGACAGACAGACAGACGGACAGACGGACAAGGCTAGATCGACTCGGCTGTTGATGCTGATCAAGAATATATATACTTTATAGGGTCGGAAACGTCTCCTTCACTGCGTTGCAAACTTCTGACTGAAATTATAATACCCTGCAAGGGTATAAAAACAAAACTTAACAAGTTAACATGAATCTCTGTTGTAAACGTATTTCAGGCATTTTCTAAAGTGAATTTCAAGAAAAGAGTTAAGTGTCGCAGGAAGAACGATGCAATGTCACAAGCTTCAATGTCATTGCACAGAGTTCCTGACCTTTATTCTAGGATATTTGTGGTCGCTATGCAAGTCGGAAAACATTCTCAGCATTATTGCATGTTGAGGGACCAATATCCGAAAAGAGAGAATGGGGTTTCGAAAAGGCGTTCTCACCTGCGTCCAAAAAGTCGATCGCTAGAGGTGCAAGGCTGCACGAACCATTTTCCAAAGCGCACGATATCCTTGGTGAGGACGAACCTGTAATCAATATCAACGATTGATTATTGTTAGACATAATTGTAATTTTCCACTATTACCTCTCCATAAGATTATGAAGCGCCTTGAACAGCAGTGATCGGCACTCGTAGGTGAGAGCTCCCTTCCAGGTGCCATTCCAAAGCAATTGGTTAGCTAGAAGATAAATATAATTGGTAATTAATTAACTTGTTTCAAACATCGATATAAAGATAAATAATAATTTACTTGTTTCCATACTGCGATATTGAATGTAGATATAAAATTAAATATAGACCTAATAAGACTTTAAACTTGGGGTATTCTTTATTGTAAAAACCTTTTTTCTTTTAAAAACTTTAAAACATATATAAATACAACAAATTTGTTATCTAGATTCTCTACCGTTTTTAAATATTTCTGAATAAGGTTATATAGAATTCAGTTTTTATATTTTGATATTGCAATATTTTTTGTCACGATCTCAAAAGCACTTTGGCAACCTGTGAGATTCGATTTTTGAGGCTCTTTCTAAAAAATAGTAAAAGCGGAGAGTGGAAAATAACCAAACAAAAACATATAGAAACAACACGAAAACGAGATCGGAAACATTGGGGGAAACGCCAAAAGAGAGACGTCTACAACGCAAAACAATAATCCTCCCACTCTCTCTCGTTCCTCGTCTTCATGCTTTCTGCTTTCCAATCTCCCCTATTTTCCTCTATCGTATCCTCCAACGACGTGCACACGCCTACAACCAAAAATCAACCGTTTTGAGGAAATTTATTTTTGTTATTGTTTTGTTTTCGTGCGCTTTTTACTTTTTTAACGACAGTTTGTCGAAAAGAACAAAAAATTTAAGAAAATGTAAGTGGAAGAAGCTATGAGAAAGTTACATATGTAAAGTGTGTAGAGTGGAATATGTAAATGCATTTCCAAAACATAAAACGTGAGTAGTAAACGAAAACCAGGAAAATGAGGCAGGCAAAGAAGGAGAATCCCAAAAGCGGAAGTGCAAACACTTGAAACAAAAACACCACAAAGACAAAAACAACAAAGGCAGCGAGTGAAAAAGATTGAGAGGCATATCAGAGAGCCGAGAGATTTGTGAAAAAAGGCAGTCTAGAAATTTTTGGAAAATTCCAAGCATCCACCACAGACACGCGCTTGCACCCAAATATACATACTCCTCTCCCTCTGCCTATATCTTTTTCCTTTCTCCCAAAATTCTCACGCATTTACAACACAGACTGCACTGCTTTTCACTGCTTAGTTTTCCCTTCGAACTGCTTCTTCGTTGTTTTCTTTACGCGGCACCAGAGCAAATGTTGCAAATATAATTACGTAAAGGTAAACAACTTGATAAATGGACAAGGCGAAGAAAAAACAAAGAGCGAGAAAGGCAAGCAGGCGTTGCAATTACCAAGCCAGTGCTGCCTGTTATTGTTGTTGTTTTACTGGTCACTGCTTTGTATATTTTCTTTTTGTGTTTTCAATGAGATCAGCGTACCGTATATATTTATTTATTTTTTTGTTTTACAAAGACGCTTAAACTCACGCACACTTAAACCAAAGGGCAATGTACGATTATGCTAGTGTGAGTGTGCGTGAGAGAGTCTCTCTTTCTCTTCTCTCTCCACTATTATCACTCCCTCTATCTCTCCTTTTTTCCATCTCATTTCCATCTCATCTCATTTCACATCCTGCAAGCCGGCTCTTCGTCGTTTCTCTTCGCCGCTGAGGTCACACACTCACACACACATCTAAAGTTCAAAGCTCGAAAAAAAGCCCGCAAGGGTAGGCCACCAAGAGCAAACACAAAAACAAAGCCAACAACAACAAACATCAGGAACTAAAAAAAATGCAGCTTCAGCCGCTTTCTTTGCCAGCAAAAGGAAAGGCAACAAAAGCGTCGAGGCGAAAGGAAACAAAACGGGACGACAAACAAAAAATTAAAAGTAAAAGGAGAATTGACTTCAAAGCCTAAGCAATACAACACTGACATGCCATTGAAGCGGTTTTCTAAATTTACTTTGAAATAATTTTGCTAAATACTAGTTTTACAAATTGGTAAATTTGTTCAGATTTTTCATTTATTTGGAATGATCATTTTCCAAAACACCAATGTTCCTACTATTAGACAATTCTTTCCTAGTTTTTATAAAAATGTTCTTCCAAAACCCAATTAATTGCTACCGATGCCAATTCTTTCGATATCCTGATTATTTTTTAAAACATTTCCTTAAAATTTTCCCAAGACTCGATTGCTCCGATTTCACCGCCACAGCTGCTACCATCCGTCTTTTCCTCCTTCCTTTTGCGTACCTCAATCGAAGCTTCGGAACAGGAATCGGAATGGGAATCAAAAAGAAGGGCAAAAAGGAATCGGAATCGACGGCGGCTGCTCAATGCAAATTCCACAAACACACGGACACAAACTGTTTGTGTGGGTGTATTTTTTTTAGCACGTGTGGTTTGTGCACATGTTGCTGCTGCTGCTCCTCTCGCAAAAGAGTTGCCTCTCTCTCTCTCGCCTTCTTGAAACCAACGAGTGTTAAAGAGACGAGAGTGGTTGTTTGGGAGAAAAAAAGTGCCGCTAGGCGTGCACTCGCTCACCCACACGCACACACTCCGCCGCTCTCTAAAAAAAAAAATAATGCTATTTTAGGTTAACATTTTGCTAGCACAGCAGATCTCCCGCTCCCTCTATCCGCACTCTTTTAGTGTGTGAGAATTTCACAACAACTGTAACGGTAACTGTAATGAATAATTAAGAGAGCCAAATGCCACAATTTTTGCATTTGCGTGCCACAAATAATAAAAAATCGCTAGCTAGCAGCAAGCGGACCAGCCAGGCCGTCAGTCAGCAACAAATGTTTTAATCAAGGTCAATAATCTTGCGCGCACACACACATTGCAAATTGTTTAGTAAGCGCAAAAACAAAGCCCAAATCAAAAGCAGGTAAAAACACGAATGCAAAAGGCAACAAAAACAACAGAATGAGCAAGAAAGCGCATTGTAATTAAGCTCAAGCTTGCAAACCAGTTTTAAGCTCATTCAGAGACCGAGAGAGTGATAGAAACAGAGAGCTGATGCAAAAGAGCGCCAAAAACAAGCAAGAGAACCAAGCAGAGGCAGAGAGAGCACCAGCACGTAATTATTGGCTCCAATTGTGGAGCACACAAACACCAACACGTAGGGGCACACTCATACTCAGACGAATGACAGCTGTTTAAGGTAAAAATCGTATGGCATCGCAAATACAACAACAAACATTAAGTACAATGACAACAAGTAGCGTGTGGGGCGAAGTAGAGATGGTAGTAGGAGGGGGGTTGTTAAGGGGGCAATTCCAGAAAATATCGCACTACTAACTATTCTCGCTGGCGTTTCTCCGTCTGCGTAGGCGTGTCTCCTGTCTCTTTCCGATGACGTCGTCGCCCCCGAAAAATGGCCCAAAATATTTACACCAAAAAAGACTTTACATGTTACCAACTGGATTTAAGCAGCACAGAAAACGTGTAAATTTAATGAGTTCACAGTTTATATTTCTTTAAAAAATACCAGAGTAGTTTGCATAAAAGTATAGCCTATTTATTGGCGTATGAGAAAAGGAATCATTCCAAAAGAAAACTAATATTCATCTGAAATCAGATACATTACATACATACATATATGCGGGAAGTAATACAAAAAAGGATTGTAATAAAGCCCTAAGCTTTGCTAAACTCAATAAAGAAATCCCAGTTTTGAGCACAAATGGCCTGGACTCTCCAGTGGAGAGCAATTTTCCCAAATCTCTCTCTAAAATGATTGATTACTCCGATCAATTTAAAAATAATAATAAAATAATAATAATATTATAAAATTATAAAATATATTTAAGTGGCTTTGTCATTCCACTGTGCGGGCCGGCTGAGATTTGCGGCGTTGCCGTTTTCACCCGCAGAAAATCAGAAAATGCGAGAAACAGAGCGACAGCAGCCCACAGTAACAAAAACAATCAAAAACAACTCGCTCTCTTCGCCTCTCTCTCTCTCTCTCTCTCTCTCTTTTCACACGCCGCTCTCTTTTCTTTCTGAATTTCATTCACACGCACGCAAACACGATGAGAGACGACAGTTTTTTATTTTTGTTTTTGCACGAGTTTGTTGTTTATGGCCAAAATGGCTATAAAAAGAATACGAATATTCGCACAAACGGGAGACAAAGTAATGTCAATGCAATTAGTCAATGTCCTTGTCATTAAAAAACAAAAACAAGGCTGTGTGCAAGCGTGACAAAGGCAGAAAAGTATGATAACATAAAAATACGTGCATTCAACTCTCAACTCCAGACGGCACAAATGTGCGCGCCTAAAACAAAAAACGCTAACGCAAACAGCAAAAGCTAACTGTAAAGTCACCGGCCACAGACCAGAATGACGTCGGCAGATAACGAAATATACAGATACAAATACAAATGCAGATGATACAGGTGAACTTCCGTATTGCGTATCTGACAGACTTTCAAATATATAGTATTTGTATTGCAAACAGCATTTGTTACGTTTATACTATGTAAAATATGGAACATACAAAATTTAAGTAATTTCTGTGCTTATAATTGATCTTAGCTGATTTTCAACGAGATCAATCGAAAACTCCCATGTTTTATCTGATTGTACTAGTATAACTTGGTGATGCTGATAAATATATCGAATTTGCATAAATGCATGTAGTCTTTGTTTTCACAGATGCCTTCATTGGCATGTTTTCTTGAAACCCATTCGAAAATGTAAAAAAGCTTTTTTAATAAAAAAAAAAATACTTATTGAATCTACTTATCCCGACAGATAGATTTACGCCGTTACGCTACGCTTACAAGTATGTATCTCAAAGTCAGTGGAATTTGCCACCGAAATTCAAATTCGATTTCGAATTCTACAATGTACGTAGTTGGTGGTCAGAGATAATGGGGCAATAACAAAAATATTGAATAAATAGTGGCCACAAGCAGTGGCTGATAAGAAGAAAGAGAAGGAGTGACTGCCGCTGGCAGTGGTAGTGTGGGAGTTGGAAGGGACGGCAGGCGGTGGGAAGGGAGAGCTGCTGCTGCTACCGAAGGCCAGGCGTCGTGTGTATCGAACAACCCTCGGAAGAGCGAGGGAGATGGCAAACACCCTTCTTCAACGTTTGCATAATTACAGCGACAGAGAGAGAGAGAGAGAGAACAAGAATGAGAGAAAGAGAACACGCGAGTGAGAGAGCGAAAAACATTGCAAATGACAGGTGACGTTTTTTTTGCGCTGCTTCCTCTTCTCACTATTTTGGAGCGAGTGGCAGCGAGAGAGGAGTGAGAGGGAGTGGGATGGAGGCCGCCTACGATTGAGGTTTTTTTTTGCTGTTTTTCTTTGCTTATTTGCCCCTGTTTTCTTACAATTTTTGTTGTGTTTTCTGTTGCTGACAGATCAAAACGACACCATGTGAGTTGAGTGACGCCAAAGGCAAATCAGAGAGGGAGAGAGAGCAAGAGAGATGAGAATGCAGAACGAGAGCAATAATAATAATAATCTACGGCAATCGAAATGTATTTCGCGTGTTTCTCTGTTTGTTTGTTTGTTTGTGTGTCACCGTTGTTTTGACTTTTCTCACACATTAACACAAGCTCACATACATAGAGACGCGCGCGAATACACCTACACAAATGCGTCAAAGAGATGGCGAAAATGTTGTTGCTGTTTTGGTTGTTGTTGCATTGCATGCGATGGATGCGGCCTTGAAGCTTTATTAAATTCATCACCGCTCGTGTTTGTGTGTACGTGGTTGTGTTATGTGAGTGTAAAGAGAAGGAGACAGGGAGAGATGCAGATAAGGTATTACAATCGATCTTTAATAACGCAAGTTTATTAAGCACTTTTGTTATTAAAAAAAATTTTTTTTTTAAGATCGATTTTACACTTAATTAATTTATTTAATAAAAATAACAAAAATGTAGGGTGAGATGAGTCTCATTTTGTGTATTGTAGTACCGATATTAAAAGGTGTGAAAACACACACACCAAATAATAATAAGATTTTAAAATAGCCTTTTTGATATTTTGGGAAATAAATCCTTGGTAGATCAAGCGAAATCCTGAATTGCTTAGAAGATTGAATCCTATTTAGGTTAACATTAACCACATGTAAATAAATCTAATTTGAATAAGCCTGCATCTAAAAATCATTAAGATTGTTTGAAATAACATTTTGTAGCAGCTTCAACCAAAAACTATTTAGATATTTCATTTAAGCATAGTTTTCAACGGGATTATCTTATTATAAGGGAGTTGAACACTTACCCGCAACGCGTAGCAGTTCAGCATCGACGAGCTCATTAAGATCGGGCTCCTCGCCGTACCAGAAGATCCATAGCTCCTTGGCGGCGGCCAGCGAAAGGGGTGGGTGGACCTTGGTCGAGGTGGTGATCTCGAAGGTTAAGGCATTCTGGTCGGCGTTGTCCGTCTTGGTGGACTGCACCCGACGCCACACGCAGAGCATGTCCGCCTGGATGCATCGCGAGTAGGATCGCAGGATCGGGTCCGCCAATGGATCACTAGACGCGTTTGGCCGCTCCTCGTTAACGAACTTTCGCCACTTTATTCCACATAAATCAGTCTGCAAAGGAAAGACGTAAGTTAATCACTTAATACGTAATTAAAAGCCAGGGAATTGTAGTAGACATAATGCCAAATAGGTTTGGTAATATTCCTCCACTGATAACCAGCGCCAGCCGTCTTTATCTATAGAATAGTGTTTTCCTATCATTTGTTTACCACACAATGACGAAAACTGTAATGTCAACACGAGATCTGCGTTTAAATGACGTACAGCGAGTAGTCTTTCGATTTAAAATTTGTTATTACAGCTGTTTGTCTGTCTAGAAAAAATCTAAAATAAAATGTGGACCACTTAAAATCATGCGAAGTAAGTTCTCTGATTTATGTAGGATTGATTAATGCGGAACTATAAAATAAAATGACAATCTTTAGATATTTATAGCACATCTGTACTAAATATAAAGATTTCTAGTGATTCGGCGTTTTTTAATCGTTGTTTTTATTGAAATCAGCCTATTCAAAAATCTTAATCAAATGTCAAATATTCATTCTTACTTTAGTATAAACTAAAAAAAAATTATAAAAATATATATTTCATTTAATTTCATAACTATTTGCAATGGTTTGTAAATTCCAATAGATGCAGTTGCCAGGCATTCATTATAATAATATCAACAGAAAGTCATCAACATCATTTTTTGAATCACAGAAATAAATGTTGTAAAATATGTACTATGTATGTATGTCCTTCTTATTTACCTAAAAAGTACGAAACTACGCAAATGGTACGGTGGAAAAAATCGATCTACTTTTTCTGCATAATAAAATTGATTGCATTTAAATTTTTTATCACGTTTTGCTGAAATGAGTGCTTAAACTGGTTTAAATTACTTCTGTACCATCGCGTGCGAATGCCTTACATTTCTGTAATTATCTTGAAAACAAACAATGGCCAACAATCGGTCTTAACATCAATTATTGTGCTAAACAAGAGCTATAACATATTTAATTAAAGAATTGAATATAAGAATTTTGCATCTTTAAAGACCTTTTGTGAAAGGCAACCGAGGAAATAATTCTGTTAAAAAAAAAAAAAGATAATCATCATGAATTGTTGCCCACTAATTCAACAGTGTTGCGAAATGCCCCAAAAACACACACTTTGGCACTCCATACACATGTAACATACATTATTCCTCACTGCACTTGGCAGCTACAACAACAACATTAACATAAATAATAAAAGCAACAAACATAAAAACGACCAAAGCGAAGCCCGAAAAATCTTCCGCTGCCTCGCAACTCAAAACAAAAGCCCGAAGAGGGAAAAAGAGAAGAAGAATACAGGAGACAAGGTGGAGGGGGAGGAGAAGGGAAAGAGGGAGCTGTAGCAGAGCCAGACAAGAAAAACAAGAAGAAAAAGGCAGCCAAAAGAGAGAAAAAAGAAGACTGGCCGAATAACTGGGCTCTTTTCTGTTTTTTTATTTTAGCTTTTTCGCTGTTTGGGGTCGTCATTGGCGGCTTCCGTTGAATACCGACTGGAGTTGTTGGCCAAAGTATTAACTTATACACAATTCCGCTAATAATAATGCTTTGAATATTGCACATTTTCGAATGACTTTTTCCAGCTGACACAGAAATTAGTAACTTTTCAAAACGAAGTTTATCTCAGATAGTTTTAAAAGAGTTTAACCAGGAATAACGCAATTAAACACAAACAAACCGCAACCAAAACATGGCCCAACCATAATAACAGGAAAACGATAAAAACCCAAAACCAAACCAAATCCGGAGATAATAAATAAATAAACAAACAATTAAAACTTTATCATTAAAGCTTTGGTAAAACCACCAATATTCTTAAGGGGAGGTAATTAATTTTTTTCGTGCATTATTTTTTAAAAAGGTCTAATGTCTTAAGAATATTGTGTCAGAGTTTTACACGTATCATTGCAAAATTGACGAATTTACTTTATATTTTAGAGGACTCAGGAAATCCCCTTTTACTCCTAGACCTCTAAATATTTTGTGCTACAAAATATTTAATAAAAATTGTTTAAATGTTGTGTTATTATATGGTATTTAAATCATTAAGCTAAATTAATTCGCCATTTTTTTTTAGTTTTGCACCGAATTAACCTGATTATATGAGACATCGCGAATACAAATTAAAGTATTATAGATTGGACTATTTTTATTCTAGCTTTTGTAAATTTGCATTTCCCAGGACGCGCACAGCACATTAATTCAATCGTCAATTTTTTCGAATCCAGAAGCAATATTTAAATGCAACTAATTTAAAACGTTAATACACAGATGTCTCTAAAGATTGGTTACGAGTGTTTTCAAAAATGGAATGAAATGTTTGTGTATTCAATTTGAAGTAGAATTGCATGGGACAAAATTAATCAATTGGAACACTTCTTACTGTATTTATTTAACATAATATAATCTTGTCCGCAGTGGACCTTTCTGTAGGAAAATGCCCATATAAAACAAAATTATTTTTGTATTGCATATTTTAGTTTTAAGAAGGTGTTAATTATATTTTCCTTATTCAAGTTTATTGTTATTTTAAATTATTTATTTTTAATTTTTAGTTTATTTAGTTTTATTTAAAAACTCGAATTTCGTGTTTTTTAAAATTAGTTTAAGAGTTTTCTAATTCAATTTTTTAATTTATAACAAAATCTTTACTGAACTGTTATTATGGATAATATTTAGGTATTACTGAAATGATTATTTTTTTCTTAGTTCAGATATTTTTATGATAAATAAAAAAAAAAAATAGTTGCTGTAACTGGAACTGCTTGTTTGTGTGTGGCAGTGGCAAGCAGCAGCGAGCAAGAGGCAAGCAGTATCCGTGCCCAATCAATGGGCTAAAGCGAGATGGAGCCAAAATAAATAACTGCACCTTACACCCATACAATAGCGCTCACGCACGCACACAATCACACCCAAAGGTATTCCCCCAAACCGGCCGTCGGTAGTGCTATCTCGCTCTGTGTCTCTATCTTGACGACAAAAATGTTCCACATTCTTCCGCTGTCTCTCTGCGATTTCAAAGTGTTTTATTTATTTTTTCCTTTTGTTATTGCAAATTTTTCTGTGTTTTCATTTGCCTCTCATTTGTCTGGCTGCCTTTTCTTCGTTCACTTAATTTCGTTTTGGCTTTTATTTTTGGGCGAGCTATCTCGTAGGTTACTTTTTCTATCTTTTATCTGCCCACTGTCTATCTGCATCTCGCTCTCGCTCGTTTTTTGCAATCCTTCAGAGACGACTGGCGAAAGAGTGCGGCAGAGAGGGGAGCGTGTTTCAACACTCTTTTGCTGTTATCATTCCGACATGCTTTTTGCTTGTGTTTGTTCACGCGCGCGTGCCTCTCAAGTTCAAACTGTTCTGCTGCGCTCTCTCTCTCACTGTTTCTTGCTCTTGCCCCCTCTCCAACCCCATTATGGCTATCTCGCTCGAGCGGCTCTCGCTCTCTCGGAGAAAGTTTGGCGCGTTTGTTATTGTTTCGTTATTTCGTTGTCGTCGCGTTTCTTTGGCGTCGCGGCCTCTGTTTCATTTATCTCTCCCTCTTCACCCACTTAAGCCGCTCTAAACTCTCAAAAAGAGTTGTGAGAGGAGCGAGTGTGGGGAGCAGAGTGAGTCTGTTACTCACTGAGAAAGAGGGGAGCACGTTGACTCGTACGCACTGTCGTCGTCATCGCTGCTTCTCCTTTGCCTATTTCTTTCGGCTTTTCCTCAGTGTTCCGCTTTTTTCGTTTTCGGCTTCTGTGTCTTCTTTCACCTCCTCTATATCTTTCCCGACCACCACCTTCCTCTTTTCACCGTGAGATTCATTAAAGAAATATGCCAAAGAGGAGAGACAATAGCAATAGCAACACTAGCGGGGCCAACAAACTAGTTGTAGTCTTCACATCTTTCCTCTTCCCTCCTCTCTTCCTCTGAAGAGGTGGAGAACCTGTTATGGGCCACAAAGTCACACAGTCACAGTCACCGAGTCGCAATCGCAGTCACAAAGTAACAAAGTCAGAAAGTCGCAGAGCAACAGCCGCCAACTTGCCACAAAGACAACCGTTTAACAGAACTACAGTAAGCTACTAGAAGTCGCCACTTTCATTTGCTTTTCTCAATGAATTCAGAGTCGATTTATCTAAAATATAAATCTTAAATCATAGGACTTGGAATTTTGATAATTATTTAAGGGGGGATAATGCAAAATGTTATCTTTAATCATGTGTACAAAGTTTTACTGAAAATCTTTTGCTTTTATTTGAAGAATTCCCAATCTCAATAAATTATAATGCCCTTGATAAAAACAGAAAAGTAAATAAATAGCTTTAAAGTCCTCTCGATAAAAATATGCACAATATTAAGACATACAACTTTTTTTTTAATTGTTACCATCAACGTTTAAAAAACAGTTAGACATAAAAAACTTGTGTACTAATAGTATTACATATTATTTGTATAATTTTATGCACAAACTACGAAAATGTATTAATGGTTAGTCATGTTAAATCTAGAAGAAATAAATTAGAAACTATTTTAACATAAAATTCTATACATAAATATTACAACGTTTTTACCAAAGTCCCCTTTTGAAGAAATGATAGAATATAGAAAGCAACGTATGTTTGTGAGTTCTTGTGTTTTTCCATTAATAGAACTCAAAATATTCGACTTAAAAACAATTGCAACTTTATTCTTCCTTGCAAAACATCAGAAGCGATAACGATAAACAGCTGGCACTGACCGACCGGCGTCTTCTGCCAATCGATGAGAGCGACACGGAGAAAGGAGAATGAGAGGACTATTACGGCGAAGTGGGACTAATAAAGACAATCAGAGAGAAAGAGAGAAGTGGGACGCCGTGATCCCATGATCGGTGGTTTACAGCTACGCAGTGTGTGGGTGACACACCCCCGCAGTCACAGTTGCCACAACCGCCCCCATAGCATCCTCACTGACCTAGATCTTCTAGGAGCAACTACGTAAAAAGCCCCGAAAACGAGTAAAATGAAATTCAAAAACAATGCAACTCACCAAGGCATAAAAGTTTGTGTGGCAATCCTCCAAACTTGCGCCGTTTGTCTGATGATTTTGATGCGTCATAGTTCTTGGCTTGTTTTCTTCGCACAGCAGCAGCTCCTCATTTTCTCAACTATTATTATTATTTGTTTTATTTCTGTATTGTTGCTGCTGTTGTTATGGATTTTTGATATTCTCTAGTATTTTGCACATTTGCTGTTGATTTTCTTATTTATTTTATTTCCGTTTTATTGATTCGGCTGCTTACACACATGCACACAAACACGAACGCACGCACGCGACAGCGAGAGAGAGAAAGACACACACGGATACACAAACTGTGCTTCTTCCTCTTTCTCCTCCTCCTTCACCACCTTCTCTTTCTTTGCTTTATGATTTTGTTGTTGAATTTGTTTGTAATTTACTATTGGTGTTTGGTTTTGATTTGCTTTGATTGAATTGGTATTTATTTATTTATTTATTTTAGGATTTTTGTATTTATTTATTTTTGATCTCTCGTCTAACTTTAAACGTAAACGTTGCTTTGGCAATGAAACACACATACTGTTGAATTATTCATGTTGTTGGTTGTTGTTGCTGGAAGATAAAACTGTTTATTAGATTACTGTGGACTCTCTCACACTATTTATTTTTGTTAATAGCGAAGTAACTGCGTTTAGCTTTGGCTGAAGACACAATCGTAGCAAATTTTTCCGCGATTTTTCTAGGTATTTTTTCTTATGGTTTTTCTTTTTTGTGATTTGGGCTGCTGCTTTTTTGCTTATTGTTGCTACTGTTGGCTGCTTTTCTCACTCAAACACACACACACACTTAACCATATAATTACAAGGGTTCGTTCATTCGCTGTTTCATTCATGCAAAAGAGAGCGCGTGAGAGAGAGCGCGACTCAGAAATTGACTTTTTTCAATAGCAGACAGCGAGTATATATACACATACTCACAGCCACTCACATCTTCTTCTAGAAACACACACACTGAGCCAGCGACGATGAAAGTCGTTGGATTTTTCGTTAATCGTTGATGTAGACAAAAAATAAAATAGGTAAGAGTTTTTCGGGTATTTCAGCGAAATTCCAATTTTCTCCACCCAATCATTTTACTCTGAAAGCTACCACAAATATCAATGAAGTAATTAATTAAATTTTTGTAGAGCGCAGAAAGAGATGTATGAGTAATGACGTTTTTTGAAACACACGACGTCGAAGTTACACACAGTGAGACACATCAGCCGCGCACACAAAACAGCACTGAGCATTGCTGATCATTCATTTCTCCTAACAGGAATCAGAATTTAATTATTATTTATAATTTATTACTCAGGCTTTTATTATTTATTATTTTTTTCGCGCAGCACACACAGCGCGAATGACGAGTCAGAAATTTTCGAACCGACTGCGAACGCTGGCCGCCACACACAATGGAAATTTTGCTCGCCTAGCTTTGAAACAGCTATATCGTCGTCGCTACATATAGATCTGTATGTGTGTTTGCAGTTGAAGTGGCGGCGGTGGCGAGTAGCGAGCAAGCGCGAGAAAGGGAAAGAGAGCGAGTAGCGGCGGCGGCTGCCGAATAGCGGCTTTTGCTCTTTTTGCACAGAGAGAGAGGGAGAAAACAAGTTTTACCGCTGCATCGGTGTGTGTGCGTGGCGGCGTCTGTTTATTTCTTTCCCTCTAGCTTGCGCTCGCTCTCGCTCTCTCTTTGTGCATCTCTGGGGATGCACAACCTTTTGGGCGAGATAGAGAGAGCAGATCGATTAAGGGAAAAATCCGAAACCTAAACTCGAACTCAAAGATATGCTGAATAAAAAAACCAAAACTGAATTCCATAATTTATGCACTATACAACACTGCACACATACACTGGCGGCCAGCATTCCTCTCACACTCGTCTCGACTCGACTCACACACACGCACACAGTCACGCAGCGCGCAACACCTACATGGCAGAGCAACCACTTTCGTAGTTTTCTTTTCGCCCCGTTTCTCTGTTTCTGGGCAGTAATGTGTGTGTACACATCAGATTTTGAAATAGCTGAAAAATACAGCACACAAAATAATAAATGCCACAGATAACCGAGTTCGCACAGTTGTTGCATATTCTTTCTCTTGCCCCGTCCCTCTTGCATCCTTATCCTCCTTCTCTTCCTTATTCACACACTGGCACACACACACAAGCACAGCGCCGGGGCAGCGACCGCTGCAAGGCAATTAAAAACTATTAAGCTGCAGCGGAAATGTTTAAACACGGCTCAAAGGCAATTTGCCACTTTGCGCGAAAACAATTTGCAATCCAACGGCACTTGGCACTGTTATTTTTACTAATTTGTTGCAGCTCTTCTTTCATGCAGTACCACACAGACACAGACACACACACACACACGTAGGCCCTCTCACTTTTGCATTGCGTTTTTCGGCATTTCGCGTAGCTTTTTTTTGTTATTTCACAATTATCTTATCGCTCATGCAGCAATCTTGGTTTTTTACATTTTGTGCCACTTTCACTTTCGATTTCGGACACGGGAAAAATCTGCGATCGGTTCTTGTAATTGTAATTAGCAACAAATATCAGTGTTACCAGGTGAAAATTTAGCTTTTCCCTAAAAAATCTCAAAACTCGCTCATGAATGGATGATCTGGTAACGCATGTCACTCATGAACGTCTGGCAGCACTGGTGCACTGCTTACCGACCAAGTTTTAGCATGTAGCGTTGCCACCTTCTCCGGTTTGACTGACAGTGCTGCCAAACTCCATAGTAGCATCACTGGCGCAAAGTGCGCGAAATTTAAATAGTTGGGTAAATTAAAGTTGCCAACAACATATTTCAATCTGCTTTGAGCAATAATTTCCTAAAAGTTTAATCTATGCGTTCAGAGAGCAGAAACAGTTCATTTAATAAAATGGGGAATTTTTTTTTATGTATTTACAATTAAGAGAGAGTTACCGGGGAAAATATGTTTTGACATTTCATATCTATAGTCCTCGTTAGTCGGAAGCACAATCGCGCGATGTTCTTCCGGCGACAGATGTATCCACTGGTATTAATTAAATTTTAAAGTACATTTTTGCCTAAACGGAAGGCCTCTGAGGCTTTCTATACTCTAAAATTTGTAGTTATTGGCGTAAACTCACCTACCTAAGATTCCCCTAATGTTCCCAATTGGGTTTTGGTCCGGGGTGCACTCTGGCCAATTCAAAACATCTATATGATTATCACTTAAGAAGCGCTGGGTCTCTATGCTCTTGTGGATTTGCATAACAACCAGACGTTTTTCTCTATTGTTTATCCAGACGCTTAAAATGCTCCCCAAACCATTGTGGAGCCGCCACCTAAATTGCGTTTGGAAAAAATAGGTGGATCTTTTCGCAAATCTCTCCAATAGTGCCGATGCCCATCTGAGCCGTCAAGATTACATTTTTGTTCATCCGAAAAAATTATCTAAATGTAAAATATTGAAAATATTTGTTTATTCAAGATAAAGTATAAATGTCATTCCGAGGCCCAGATTCTCTCCAAGTTTTTCACAACAAATTGAAGTTTTTATGGCGCGGATTTAAGGGCGAAGCCTTTTTTAATACTCCTCTGTCAATGCACTCAGATGATCGCAGCGTCCGCCGAACAGTCACTCGTGCCACAGGCTTGCTGCAAATTGCTTCAAGTGTGGAGCACGACGCAAACGAATTACTGGATTATATTATTATTATTGCGACATTATCTCTGTCAGACAACTTGGTTTTTGGCCCAAGACTATGCTTTACACCATATTCTTCCAGATTGTGCAAAAATTTGGTAATAACACAACGTGTTCGACCAATTTTTCGCGATATTTCGCTTACATTAAAGCCATTAAAGGCTTTAAATTTCAATTTATTTCATTTATTTCGCCAACGGTAAACCTTAACTGGCTACTTAACTAAAGCTTAACTGACTTAAGCAGAAAATATACCCCGCGAAGGGAGATCAAAACAAGCATAAAACTTTAAATTACGCGCGCAAGGAGGGCCGATTATCAGCGATAGTGGCAGCGTCTGGCAACGCTACGATCGATCGCGGCAGCGCTGCCGGCAGAAGTAGGTCACGGCCACACTGCCGAATTAGGGCAAATGAATTCCTGGAAAACTTCGAAGCTTAGAAGTCGCGCTGCTCCGACAAGTTCCAAAAAGTAAATGTGCAAGTGTTCAACCGCGTGTCCGCGTCGACCAAAGTTCCTGCAAATCCTTCGATGAGCATGGCCGCCGGCCAACCCACGCAGCCAGTTGGAGGAACCCTCCACCAACACCAGGGACGTATTCGCGCTGCCATCACCATGGAAGGGCGAGGATTTGTGGCCACCCTGGACACCGGAGCTTCACACAGCTTCATCAGCGAGGACCTAGCCCGAGAGCTAGGCAACGCGAACAACACGCGGGATATCAGGATTCAACTCAAGTTGGCCGACGGGACATGCCGAGAACTCACTCGGGCCCTCGCCGCAAACATCTACCTCGGGAACAAACGCGCCCCAACCATCCTGCTAGTGATGACCGGAGTCCTCGACGGCATTCTCCTAGGCATGGATTTTCTTTGCAAGATTGGAGCCACGATCCAGTGCGGGGGACAGACCGTCAGCTTGCTACCCGACGACTACACTGAGCCGCCTTGGGTTCAAGAACAAAGAAACGCAAGACGCCGGAAGGAAGAGCCACGCTCTGTCCACTTCGAGGAGCCACACTCCACCCCTCACGAAGGACCATCGACAAGCCGCCGTTCCGCCTCGACGATCGACGAAGACTCGGCCGCCGAGATGCCACCAGTAGCAGCACCCAACCGCCCTCCGCTGCCGACACCCGGCGAGTACACCGCAGCAGTGGGCCGACGCAGGGCCGAGGAGTTGTGCGACGTGCTGGGCTCGTCCTCCGCCAGGCCTCCCCAGCCGGACGATCCCCGATCGACCAGGAGCCGACCACCGACGCCGATACCGGAACGACGAGGCAGTCGGGGAAGCGCACCCTGGGCGGACAGCCCCTCCGGATCCTCGTCTGAGGAAGAACGGCCCAGCGACCGCCAAGTCCATGTCCATTGGGTGCCCGCTCCAGACGGGTGGATCACGCCCAACGGCACGCTGCCCGCACCGCTCATCGGACGCATCCAGCACCGGCTCCAAGGAGCCAGGCGAAGAACCCTGCGGTATCTGGAGAAGGAGCAGGGCCAGCGCTTCCGGGTGCAGCTCAACCGGGACGACCACGTCCGGGTGTTCCTACGCCACACCCGGAAGTAAGGAGGGAGTGTGACGACGCGACTGGTCGTCACAAACTTTGTAAATATTGTAAATACTGTAAATAATAGATTAAGCTTAGAATTAGGTATAAAATTAAGCTACACAAACTCACACACACACACACACCCCCAAGTGTTCAACCGCGTGTCCGCGTCGACCAAAGTTCCTGCAGATCCTTCGAGGACAATGAAGCAAGTTGAGGGTGAGCATGGCCACCGGCCATTAATTAGACTCGGGACTTACCCCGCCCCCTGCTGGGCCGCTGAGGTTTTACCCCGGCCACCCAGACGCTTCCGTATAAACTGTTCTGCTCTTTTTACCGCAACTTAAAAACGCGATATCCAATCAGAAATAAGAAAATCACATTTTAAGTAGAATTAATTAAGCTTCAATTCTGCATACTTGATTTTTTTGTAATATGCTTCCCGACTTTCCTACGAAGGTCGAAACTAAAATTTAAAAGTTACAAATCGTACCATTTTTGGAAAGCCCCACATGCAACAGTTTCCGTACGTTTAGTTTGCCCATCGCTAAGTGGGACCGCATTACTAAAAAGTGTGGCCAGAGCGTGTGATTTTTCGGGCAGGTCTCGGCTGCACTGATGACGCTGTGCGAAAACCTGTTCTGTTCCCGCCGCCAGCCTCCCGGACCCACCGCCCCACCTGCGCTGCGGATTCCATGACACTGTGTGGGGCAATAAAAACAAACAGAACGCTTGGCGGCCGCGCCTGCCCTGCCACCTGAGCGGCCAACTGTAAAAGTGGGCCGCCAGCGAAGAAGAAGCAGCAGCAACAACACGGCGACAGCAGCGCCGGCAGAGGCAGAAGCAACCGATTGGATTCAAAAGATTTCACTTTTCGACTGGCGACTCAACGGAGCGGAGCTAAAAAAAAAACAGATTTTCCCCCAACCAGCAAGTCGTGCGCCTAATAATTGCGGTTTTGTACCTGAGAAAATCAAAGCTCGAGAGCAAACAGCCAGAATGTACCGCGCCAGGGGATTACGGATTATTATGCAACGGTTGCATCAAAGGATTCCCGTTTCTGGAGAGCTGCATCCGTCCGCCGTTGCGCCTGCGCTGAAAACTTTCACTTCGCAGCAGCAGCAGCATCACCGTTGGACGTCAACGTCGACTGCGGCGGGTAAGCAGTCGGCCAACGTCCAGGTGACTCCTCCGCCGCGCCACGACTGGAACCGGGCTGTCAGCGAGGCGGAGAGGATCGTGGGCTATCCCACCTCCTTTCTCAGTCTGCGATGGCTGCTAAGCGATGAGATCGCCAATGTGGCGCTTCACTTGCGCAAGCTGGTGGGCAGCGCACATCCTTTGATGAAAACAGCCAAGTGAGTAAATCCAATCGGTGAGGGACTTGTAAGATTAAAGGTTTAGGATAAAGAAAGTGTTTTTTTTGCGGATTTCAAAGCCATTGAATTGATGTTCAAAAGCAAGGTACAAAAAACAGATCTGCACACAAGACTTTCATTTGTACATTTGAAACTTTTAAATGAATTTTGTGGCAATGTATTTTTGAAGATACTGTTCATCTTTAAATTCTAAATTTATTTTTAAGTGTTCTGACTTTTCTAATAATTCGAAAATTACCCTTTTTTTAAGGCACCTGCTCTACAATGGCAAGAACACTATGCAAGCCTGGGGACTGATTGTGCTTCTTGTGTCCAAGGCAGCAGGACATGCACCCAGCGTGCCCGATGTGGAGCAGGACAAGAGTGCTGGCGTGCTTCATTCTCAACGGGCCCTAGCTGAGGTTACTGAAATGATTCGTATCTCTCATCTGGTGCACAATGTAAGTTTTACCCTGTACTGACATAAAACTATTGAAATGAACAAATTGATTAATTATTTCCTTCTTTTATTTCCTTGTAGAGCGTGGTAAATCTGCAGTCAAGCACTCAGGCTGGCCAAGATGGGGCCACCTACGACGACATGTCCTTTGGCAACAAGATCGGCCTTTTGACCGGCGACTACCTGCTGGGCCACTCCAGCGCAGAGCTGGCGAACTTGCGCAACCAGGAGGTGGTGGAATTGATCTCGTCGGCAGTGCGCGACTTTTCCGAGTCGGAATTCATCGGCGAAAGGGATGAACAAAACAATCCGTTGCCGTACAAGCCGGGTACGTTCCAGCGGCCATCGCTGAGCGTTGGCGTAGACTTTAACGAACACGATGTAATGACGCCCATGCCGATCGCCCAAGTTCTTGGCAATCCGGAACAGGAATGGGAATGCCGGAATATACTGAATGCCGGGAGTTTGCTGGGCAAGTCCTGTCAGGCATCGCTGAAGTTGGCCGGCCAAAGTGAGGAGCTCCAGCGACATGCTTATCGCTTTGGCAAGCATTTGGCTTTGGCTTGGCAGGCTTGCCTCGACGCCGAGCCCTTCCAGTGTCCCACCCTGCCGCTGGATGCCACTTTCAGTTTGGTCAGTGCTCCAGTTCTATTCCACTTGGAGCATGATCCATCAATCTACGCCCAGCTGGAGGCGGGCAAGCAATCGGTGGATAATATTGATTACGATAAGATTCACAAGGCAATCCTGGCTGGCCCGGCGTTGGCAAAGACCAAGGAACTGCAACGGAAGCACACGGCTGCGGCTCTTGCCGTTCTTCAGCACTTTCCGGCCACAGATGCTCGACAGGCTCTGGAGAACATTATTCTGGCCATGCAGGATCTTTGATTCACAGCGAAATCTTTTCCACGGGTTCTGGGCTTAAGTTTAGTTGTATTTATTCCATTTGGGTCACCACCTCCTCCATGAAAGCAAAAAATGTATGACTAATCTAAGGGTTTTCGTACTTACAATTTGAACTTTGAAATTTGTAAAAATTGTTAATTCGAGTACATTAGGTGCAAAGTATGAAAGTTCCAAGAAGTCCCATTGTTAGTCAATATATATTTGTACTTTTTATATTGTTAAACAATTTATTAGTGTTTTGATGGGGAAGAGAGTTTAAGAGGTCGTTCTCTTATAATTTCCTTGCTCTTGTGTTAATTTTTCCAATTTGGTTTAAATCAAAAACCAAGGTTTGAGCACCATAGAAAAACCATTATTTCTTTAATTCCACCTTTAATGCAAGTATAAAAACAGAAATAATTTAACTAGAGTTAGTTACAATTAATATAGAACACAGAACGTGGTTTTTGTGGCCATGCTCCTCTAGCGTCTGGTGATCTTCATCAGAACCAGTTGCTTGCAGCGATCGTACTCGAAATACTGAGGAAAGTCCAGCGGTAGATGCTCCAGCTTCCACGGTTTATTTGCCGTTTGACGGAGGAAGTACTCGTACATAGGCGCCACCGAATCACAGTCTTCCAGGGTGAATACATAGCGCTTTTCCAGGGCCATGTATATGGTCTTGGGTCGTCCGATTTGTTGGCTCTTGTCCAGAAACTGATCCACCACACCGATAAAGGCATCGGTAAGGGTATCGCAGTAGATAACATCGCCGGCCAGGATGATATCGCTCTCATCTATGGCTTTCAAGAGTTCCTTCGATTGCTCTCCCCTTGGAGTGAGGAAGTTAAATTCCAGGACGGACACCTGGCCAGTTAGGAGCCCGGAATTCCTTTCAACATTGCCGCGAATCAACTTGAGGATGCAGCCCAGATCCACATCAGTGCAATAAACTTTGCCGGGATTGTGGATTCCAGCGGCTATGCTGGTAAGGCCCACGCCCGCACCCAGTTCCATGATGGTTTGCCCCGCAAACTCCTGCCGCTTGGCAAAGAGGTAATCAGCCAGGAGGAGCGCACCGCGCCAGACTTGCAGCCCCACCAGTCGCAGCTCGGTGGCCTCGGAATGCTCGAGTTCAATCAAACCGCGCCGTGGCCTTGGCACCTCAAGGTCACCATCGCTGTCCGTCGTAGTCCCGGCCAGCTTCTCCTCCGGATAGACGAAGCGGAACTTGGACACCGCACGGCTGCCGTCCCGCGTGGTCTGGTAATTGGTCTCGCTGTAGATCTCCGACGTGACCGTGAACATTGTTGAGTTATGTATGCATCGCGGCTATAAGTGTAAATATATATTATATATGTTTTTAATGTTGCGGTCGGCGGCAGTGACATATTCCCGGGCTATTCTACGGCAATATGGTCGCACTGTCGCCGCATATGGACAATCGATTGATTTGTATTTTATCGATTTGTACAGTGGTATTTTTTTTGTATAAAAGTTTAAAATTTAAAAAGTTAAAAATATTGCCTTTGTATTGTGTATATAAACAAATTTCATAATTTTGAATAGTATTAATAGTCGTATTTTATTTTTATAAAGAAAACAATTAATTTTTTTTTTAGATTTTTTATATATTTTTACTTTTTTTTCCCTAAATTACCATACATAAGGTATATGTTTAGAAAATAGTTTTCAATTATTGACCTTGTCAAGCAGTCCGTGACTTTTCAATCATTCCAAAACTACCTATTGTGGCTCAAATGACCCCTCACATTCAGTCTAAACCGTTAGCTTGAACGAAATAGAAGTATTTCAATAGAATAGACATTTTTAAGGAAAAATTCTTTAGTATCGGCTTTTTTGTATAAATCTTTTTTTTATTTTGATGTACAAATTCATTAGTGCAAAAGTTCAGAACATTTTTAGATCCGTTTTTTACGTGTATAATCAAGCAAATATAATGAGCACGCAAAATATTTCCTCTCCGGGGGGTAGTGTTTTTGATTGGTCACTTGTGGCAAAGGACTCGGCTACACTGGATATCGGTTTTTCCAATTTTTTAAATGATTACAAGCTAGTTTGCGATGAGCATTTGACCTACGAGGAAATATTGGATAAGGCTAAATGCCGGTGGGCTGAAATGACGCAGGAACAACGGATGCAGTTCTTTCCGGTAATATGTGCTAACTGATCTAGAACTCGAATATTTCCCAAATCATTGGATATCTAATGCATTCTACAGGATGATCTGAAGCAGAGCGTAAGCCCCAACTTGATAGCCGGCGACCGGCTGGTGGAAGGAAACGCCACGGAAACACCAACAATAAGTGACACTTCTACTTGTGGTTGTTACGATACGGGCTTTGCCAACTATGCTGATCTTGTAACAATGCGACTTACGGTTCTTCTTGCGGATAAATGGGAAGAAATGTCCCAGAGTGAGCGAGCAGCGTATGCTGGTGTAAGTGAAGCTAAAACGTTTTAAAAGCTTATTAATTAAAATTATATGGTTTCCGCTCCTTGTAGAAAGATAATCACAATGGTGCCGCCAATGACTACGAGCGTGGCCACGACCCGCGAATATCCCAGATGATGATTGAAATGTTCGGGCACGAATGTGATCATAAAAATATGAAAATGAAAAGCCAGAAGGCCAATCCCAAGTGCGCTAAGCCCGTAAAGAAATGTTCGCAAAAAAGGAGAAAGCCGAAACCGAGATGCAGCAAACCAAAGCCGAAATGTAGTAGGCCTAAACCCAGATGCGCCAAGCCTAAACCCAGATGCGCTAAGCCAAAACCGAGGTGCGCCAAGCCGAAACCAGAATGCGATTTCTAGATGCCCAACTAAAAAACTAAATCATGTTTTGGCACTACTTTCAATAGACAATCTTGGACCGCGAAATAAAAACTAAACTAATTGAATCTTTTATCTTTCTTTTCCATTACCAATTCCTGTAGATTTGCTCCACTGTGCCGGTAGCTGCTTGGTCTGGCAACGCCTGGGACCAGAGCACGTTAGGTGTGACCAGCTGCGGCGGAGGGGAAAATCCTGAACTGTTTTAGACCGATTTCAGGGGAATCTTTCGAGCACACTCAACAAAAACGAGTTCAACAAAAATATGGACGACGATGATCCCGTTGTGGAGGAGGTAAGGTCCTGGCCAAAGCATTTTCCCTAACTGATTTTCCACTGAATTCCCCATAGATACCGGTGTTCCTGTCGAAGAACCTGCAGGACAGCTTGTATCTCTTCCAATACCCTACGAAAACGGAGCTGCCAAACCACGACGGCTCCGTGGTAGTGAACTGCTGCGTGAAACCCTTTGCCCAGGAGGTAAAGGTAGACTTTGGCCTGGACATTGAGTCCACGCACTTCGATCGGTTCAAAGGCGAGCAGTTCGCGGTGGCTGCCGACGGTAAGAACACGTACGGAGCCGCGCCGCCCAAGGGTCAGGAGAGACCCACTTATAAGCGTGGCATCATGGACAAGCAGGCCTTTGTCAGCAGCCGGTCCATCACCGATGTCAGCAAGTATATTGTGGGCATCTACACCGATCGGGAGGTCCACCTGTCCCCGCTCACCTCCATCGTTCAGCTGCGGCCGGCTCTCAGCCATTTCGACAAGGAGGACAAGCGAAAGAAGGCGGAACAGAAGGCCCAAACAGAGGACGCCGACGACGATGAGGTGCTGCAGCAGGTTACGGTGAAGTTTGCCCGCGGTAATGCCAAAACCTCAAGCGGAAAGGAGCAGCGCGCCGGCACTTACGATGGATTCGTACAGCGGATCGCGGACGAGCCGTGGTGCGAGGCCTATTGGCATGCGAGGGGCACTCCAACAGCCGAGTTGGAGCGCCAGAAGCTATTCGCCACCAGTCACCAGGGCAATCAGGCGCTATCCCTCGGTCCATCGGACTATCTCCGCCGCCTACTGCCCTATGACGAGCATGTACAGCCGGTGGACACGGCACCCACTGCCGGAGCAGCTGCCGCAGCTCAAGTACTGCCCGTTTACAACAAGGCCATGTTGCGCACGATGCCACTGCTGGAGCAGCTGAGGGTTCTCCTGCGTGATGCCAGAATGCTCTCCTTTGCCGATGTCATTGAGATACTCACCGAGCACGTGGATTCGCATGTGTCGCCGGAGAAGGTACTGGCCCTGCTCCCCCAAGTGGGCATCCTGCTGCACGGCAACTGGGTTCCACGGTCCGAGGTGGTCTTCCCTGAGCGAATGCTGTCCCACGCCAACGGCGTGCCCGCCGAGCAGATGATTCGCGCCAGGGATTACATAGTAAGTGTTCGGGGTTGGATTCGCATTTGCCATTTATTAATGTATATTTTGTTTGCAGCTTTTTCGGTTTTCCCGCACCACTGGCCTGTTCCGCGCACAGGTTATGGCCGCCACCCAGCTGCCGCCCGCAGAAACCCTGGACGTGCTGCGGACGGTGGCTCGTGTGAATAATGCGAAACGGTGGGAGCTGCTACTGCCACCGGACAAGGAGTTCGAGCAGAAGCATCCAGAGTTGGTGCAGCGCCAGGAATACCATTGGCTCGCCTCTGAGCAGCACTACAATGAGATGGACTGGGCTCGTGAGACGAAGCGCGTGCGCAAGCGGTCTACGCGCAAGAGCGAGTCCCAGTCATCGTCCATGCAGCCGCCACCGCCCGCCCTGAATCCTCCAGCAGCTGCGGAAGCGTAGCATCCGGGCACCTCCGAATGGCGGAGAGGGCGGCGCAGTGGAAGTCTTATACATTTAGGCACTAATAAAACCCAGACAAGCATCTTTATTTTGTTACCAGCATTGACTTTGTGATTAGATCCGCGATTTTTTTCGCAAGCGAATCCCTGTTGGATTTTGTCACCTGAAACAGCATTGATTTGGGTGACTTCCTAAGCTGCTCCACCAACCTCAGGGAGCTCTTTTCGGGTATTGTGATCACTAAAGGAATTAGTTTCTTCTCTAGGAGATTATCAACGGTGGTCTCGAATCTCTTGCTAAACATCTCCATTTTACCCACTTCATCAATGACCAGGAGCCCTGGCTTCTCTCCATCATCCTTGATTTCCAGCTGTGGCAGTGCGAGGTCTTCAAAGTCCTGGACATACACCCAATACTTGCCCACTTTGGGGCGTCGTTTATCGGTCTCGCCTACGTTTATGCTTCGGGCCAGGACACCTCGTTCTCCGCTTAGAGTAACCACATCAAATCCAATCCGTTGGCCATTGCCAGCTTCACGCACTTCCTCCGTGTAGAATCCTTGCAGGGAGTGACCTTTCTCACCTAGCTTTGAGCAGATCCTGCGAACCAGCGTGGTTTTACCAACTCCTAAAGTAGCAGGACACTCAAATCGAATGATTGTAAAATTATAAATAATTTAAGAAGCTACCTGGAGGTCCTGTGATCAGAAGAGCCCGAAACAGGTCACTTTGCATGTTTTGTTTTAGATTTTGGTTTTCGAACGAGAACTAGATCAACCAGGAATGCATTACAAGTAGTTCCATAAATAAGTAACGTAAAAAACGATATATTTTTTAGTTAAAAATTTTGGGATGGTGTCTAAATCACTTATATATAGGATTAAAATTTATGTACCATACAAAACATTTATGGCTAATTAAGATATTAACTGTCAATTTAATATAAAACAAGACCAAAACTATTAAAATATCGATTTAATTTTAAAATCTCTGTTATTACACCAATTATTTTGTACAGTCAATACTAAGGAATTTAAAGAAATCTTCACTTTGTTTATTTAAGGTAATACCGTTTTTGGTCGTTAGAAATCAATACAAATCTATATAAACTTAAAATTATACAAGGAAATTGTACTATTTATTTTAATAAGATTACACTATTTTCGTCCAAATTAAGTTTACTTTCAATTAGAACTTTATGGTATGGTATCGCCAAAAAAGAGAACAATCGTCTATATCTTTAACCATTTTTCTTATTTAAAAAATCGTTGAAATTATTGTTAACATATGCTAGATGAATATTAAAAAAATGTATTTTTAAAGCTATTAGCTGGTTGTACATTTCATAAGGTTTTCAATTTCAGATATGCTAGATCTAGCCTGAAATAAGCTAAACTGGCAGCACCGGCTGACAGCGCATCGTTGTCTTGAGATTTTATATGGAATGTGTGTATGGTCATACTGTTATAAAACTTCGAATTGGAGCGTGCGTCGCGTTTTCGTCGCGCGTGAATTGAATATCCGTAATTCCGATCCGATCCGAATCCAATTGTTGCTCGCGACCCATTGTGCCAGCGGGCCCCTGTGAAGCGCAAGTGAAGTTTAGCTCGAGGCAAGCTGCTTGCCCTTGCCATTTGTATACCGTTTCCTACTGCCGCCGCTTCCCCCAAGCGCTCCTCCACCATTCCTTCTTCCATTCGTATTCGCGCGAGTGCGTGTGCGTGGCTGGCGACGATGTTTAGGCCGTAAAGAGAGCCGAAAAGAAGTGCAACACAAGTTACCGCTAAAAGCTGCCAGTTAAAAGAAAAACAACCCAAGAATGTCGGAGGCTGAGAATCCAACTCAGAGTCCGGCTAAGCGCTCGGAATCCGATCAGGAGCTGCTCCTCCACCAGACCACGCAATCCCTGCTAATGGCCAGCTCCATGATGTTCGTGGAGACTCCCGGCCCAGGCGGCGGTGCTGGTAATGGACTTCCTCAGGTTCTGGGACATGGCCCGGTCTCTATGGGTTCTATGAGCTCCCTGCACCTTGGCCATGCCGCACAGCATCAGCACCAGCACCACCACCCGATCCTCCCCTACAGCGTCGACGAGCTGCTGCGGGAGAACAACGCCCTGCACTCGAAGATCAAGGAGCTGAGCATCGAACGGGATCGCCTGCTCTGCGAGGTATCCAATCTGCGCCTAGAGCTGGATATGTCCGAGCTGAAGAGGCTGCCCATCGATTTGGATGAGAGGTGAGTGCTAGTTAAATAAGTCTATTTAACAGTATTGTTGTTATAATTGAACATTATTTTTAATAATAAGTATTACTAAATACGGATTTTAGATTGAAGTTATGCTCTCTTATTTTTATACTTTTACCTGAATCTTAATTTAAACAAAATGTGCCAAGACTCGCAGGAATTTCATTAAAAAAGAAATTATAAAATTGAAAAAAGCTACACGGAGAATATATGATTACAATTTCTTATATGTTAATGGTCTATCAATATATTGTGTTTCGTTTTATTGTATGTGGGTTAATTTCTTCAGTTCTTCTTATCAAGGCTTTAAAGTTCCCCATCAGTGCATCGAAATAAATTAATTTAACGACGATGTTTTACTCCTTATCTAAGAAACCGCGTTTTGGTAAATTGATATACTATATATGATGATATTACAGTTTATAACCAATAAGAAAATTCCTTATTAGAAATCCCGATTTATGTTAAAGTTTTATTTTGTATTGAATATAAATTTCTACAGAAACTTTTTTGTGAGTGTGAAAATATAATTTATGAAAACTAAAGATTTCCTTTTGTCACTTCCATTGAGATCGCCATTTTCGGCTGCACTTCCGATGTTTCCCTTAGCCCCCAACCATATAGTGTGCGGTTCATAATGCCCATAGTGGAGTTTTGTTGTTGACTCAACAACTTCTGGTTGAGTCACATTTTCGTCCCCTTGTCCTTGCCACCTTTGGCAGCTGCAGGCTGGCAAGTCCGTCTTACTGGTTTTTGCAACCCCTTTTTGCAATCCCTACTACCTGTGGGCTAATCGACACAGTCGCGGTCAAAATATTGTACCTATTAGTAGTTTTTTCTGCAATTCCGATTGGAATTTCCGCCAAAAAAGGTGGCCTACTTATCTTTGCAGAACAATGATAAGGATTTTTAAAATATGTTTTTGATGTGACTCAGAGTCTTAAAATAAATTATCTTAAATGATAATCGAAAATGTTAGTAATATTATAATTAACCTGCTTTCCTAGGTACTCTATAAATGTTGGTTTTGGCACTTGATAGTAAAGTCTTCTTATCTTTGCAACCAGATATCAAAACATAGCGGATATTTCTGCCAAATCACTGAACTATGTGTGTTTTGGGTTGATTGGAATTTCCGTACATAAAAAGTCACACACTTATCCGGCTGAACATTAGATAATTTTTTACCTTTTGTTCTGAGCCATTTTCTATGAGTCAGCTTTGTTAGAACTACCGTTGCTCTCCGCTTATCGATCGCGCAGTTTATTGTATTTTCTCTGTTTGTTTTGCTCTTTATCGCTCAGTTTTTCCTTGCTGATAAGTAATAGTGGCACTTCAGGCGATAAGGGCAGTCCCAAAACAATTCCCACAGCTCGGGAATTCAATGTTAAGTGCAAGTTTCGATCAGTTATTCGGGTCTCGACGGGGAGATTAACCCACAAATGCATGGGTAAATAACAGAGAGAGGTATTAATAACGATACGTCTGGCATTTGCCATTGACACAGCCGAATAAAGGTGGAAATATCTCAATATATTTCGTACCTGACTTTGTTTTGCATGTGGTCATGCCCCAACGGCAGACAATCTGAAAAATACGACGTTATTTTTTGTTTTATACAGATATGTATATACCCAAAGTGGGCGCAAATAAAGCGCAGTTATCTTTAACCGTTTTCTTCATTTCGGGTCTTCTTGGCCTCTAAGGTCTGCTAGAAGATTCGTGGGCTCTTCCAATTATTCGCTTTGCGTTTTCTGTTTATTTTTTTGCACGCCGCTGCTCACCTTCGTCAAAACATTCAAATACAAAGCACCAAAAATAATAAGAAGCTTTCGCTGTGCGATCGCGAATCTTTGGATACTCTTTCTTAGGATAAAAATATAAAGTAAAATGTATTTATTATCAATAGTGTTTAATTATGTTAAATTGGAACAGTATAAAGTATATTTTATCTGAATAAAACTATTAGACTCGATTTAAAATCATAGACGATAGGGTCCAAATAAGAATATAGGATTTTCCTAGTGTTTTTTTGTATGAAAATTGTATTCGTACGATTCACACAATAAAACAGCGAATATACATCAGAAAACTGTGTAAAATATTGCTATAAATATTATTATAAGCAAAACTTCAAATATAAACAAATGTTATTTAACTTACTGTATTCTCTTTTAATTATTTTGTCTCCTCATCAACTAAAACATAACCTCTATTAATAAACAGTAAAAACCAAACGAACTCATTTATTTACATTTAAATAAAGTTGAACTTTATGAGGGCATGCTTATATTTAAACGAGAACTCGCACGGCTTATGAGGAAAATGTGTCCGCCAGTAGTTAATTTCCCCCATTACACCATTTCCTACAGCACCCACAACCTTATACCTTTCAATTAGCATAACTAAATGTAATGTGCAAATGCTATTCGTGGTTTAGATCCATTCTGTGATAACCTTTTACAAGATTAGCCACACGCACCGAGTCTCATTCGAGATTGTGCATCTTCCATTAGGGGGAAGAGTATGTGCATATGACAAGCGGAGAGACAGACTCGAAACTCAAGATCAGAGATGTTGAAAATGTGCGGGCAGCTTTCTGTGTAAGGTTCCCCTGGTTATGGTCGTGGTTTTTTCTTGGTTACTTCTGCATTTGGTCACTCATCGTCACTCGCACACCGATACATGCTCTCTCGCACTGAAATAAAACACAGAAAGAATTAATTATAAATTTTGGTATTTAAAGTGTAATTAATTAAACTTAATTGGCATTCAAAAAATGTTTTATTTAATATTAAAACCTTTTATATATTAGACTTATTTGATTATTATCTAAATCTTTATCTGTACTTAAATCTGTAGAGGATAAGAATCATGTGGAATCCAGGCTTCTGTATATTTTGAAATTCTGTCACAGAATCCATCTAAGAATTAAATTAACATTTGTATTGGGAAACTTATTATTACTATTAAAATTATCCAAACCCGCTGCATGTCTACAATACCATAAAATACCAAAACTATAATGAAACATAGAATATCATAAAATGTGAACCCCTTAAATCACTTCTAAATGTTGTAATAATTTTGTTCTGTGCAGAGACAATGTCGTAGTTCGGCCTGCCGCAGAGTTCAGCTCATTAGCCAGTTATCATCATCTAATAAAGCAGACACACGCACCGGAAAAACGGGGAAAGGAGGGGATTGGGGAAAAACACTTGCCCATTTCAACAGAGCTTTTGTAGTTGTTTTAGGTCTCTTTGTGATAATTAAGCGAGTGGAGAGGAGAGTCTATTAATTTCATACGCCCCTCTTTAAAATGGTCATGGGGAGGATGGGATAACGTTTTCCGACTACTTAATGAGCGTGTACTGTATACTGTGACTTCAGTAGGTGAAGTACCATAGTTCTCTGCCCTTCGTACTTCTGTCTTTGTATTTATGTTTTTTTTTCGTTTAATTTGCATGCAACATTTGGACTGAAGATTGCGGTTGCCCCATTATTATGGGGGTTTTATAAGGGGGGCGGAGTTTAGGAGTTTGGTGGTCATGCGTGTTGCAAATATCTCAGAGGTTTTTTTTGTTTTAATTAAAAGATATGCCAAATGGACATGCATGTTGAGGGATAAAGATGGGTAAGAAGAGGTTTGGATGATCTGAATGCATCAGCAGATGGGAAAAACATTTTTATTGGGCGGAGCTAAAGTTAGATAGTAATTGCAATTGATTATTCACTTTGAAATCCCACACTGCGGTTGGTTTTTTTGCTGTAGTTGTGTTCCAGATGGTCTTCCAAAGTATCTTTTTAATAGTATATACATTTAAGAACCAGAAAGTTACTAGTAAAAAGAGTTTCTTGTGGTTCTTGGTTATTTTGAGTTGTCTGAGAATACTTTTTATAGATTTTTTTGTGAGTCCTCGATTTGCTTCCTAAAAAACTTTTTCATACGTCTTTGTGAAACCAGGAACCTATTTTTGACATGATGTGTGAACACTCTGCTTAAAGTTAAGTATATATCGGTTTTGTATCTTTGATCACAGGTTTTTCCTTAATTTTTTTTTATACAAAAGCTTGTGGTCACTTTAGTTCTATAATATCTATAATTCGTACCTCCTCTTATGAATTACCATATTGACACAATGCCCTTGGTTGCCACAATTATAATTATGACAAAGCAGTTATCCATTACCAGTAATTTCTGTCTATATGGTTTCGATTGAGGAAGTGCGCCCCGGCACTATAATTTCTCTCCCAAAGTTCTCTATTGCAAATTAACACAATTAAGTTGATCGCTTTTCTGGGGTATTCCACTGATCGCTCAACACACATGTGCTGTGTTCCCATCATCCCCATTCTCATTCCCACCATGTGTCCGTGCTCCAGACTAGACCATTTATTATGCATCCAATAAACAAAAATGAAATTTTCAGTTTTCGATCGAAAAGTGAGATCATGCCTCTGAGCAGACGAAAAATAATAATTAAAATCGTTTATTTATATATTTGTGAAATGTTTAATAAACACTGTCTCTCATTGCCAACTGACATTCAGACTAAACTGTCAAGTCGCTAAATATTATTTTACAAATAAAGATACAAAAAAGCTCGCTTGCGAGCTCAGTTGCAAAAAATTCCAGTTGGCAAAGGGGCTTAAAGTCTTTGGGGGATTAGTTTCGAATTGAACAATGTAATCAATTAGAGGGCGTCCCGTTTGGGTTGTAGCAGTTTGCATACGTCGTTATCTTATATAAAAAAAGCTTTGGTATTTATTTTTTTTTTTTTAAATCCAACTCGTGCAGCTCGTTACGCACACACTAACACGATGATTGATGAGACATATGCGTCCATGTCCCTGCCCAGTGACAACTTCCGAGTCGACTACGATTTTCCTCATTCAGCGGAACTCGCTACCAAATTCAAATGGCAGCCAGAGCTCTCATTGCTCCAGCGGCGGCTTGTCAATCGTGTTTGGCTCTGACAGCAGCGGCCCCAGTGTGCTGCTCTTTACATGGCCATAAGTCCCGGTCTTGGCCATCTTCTGGTAAATTTGCTACTCGATTCTGAACGGCTTCTCGCATGCGCCCCAAAAATGGTGATCGTGTGCTTTGGTTTCGAACCTAAAAACAGCGGAATTCTCCTTTGTCTCTGACTTAAGGAAGTTGAGTTGTTGGATGGATGGTCTATGGAAACACGCGTAATGATCAGCAGCAGTTTGGTTCGTTTCTGTAGGAAGAGTTATATTTTTGGGTGACGCGTTCCAGATCGTTAAATGTGGTGGGAAAATATCTTAGGAAATCTGGATGTTTTTTGACAAATACTAATTACTACTTGGTCTATCAGGCAATCGAACTGTAGTGTGTGTATAATTAGTATTAAGAATGCAATCCTGTTAAGAAACAAGTAGGAAAACTACAGTTAGAAGTTATGGAAAAAATGCAATTAAACTGGGCAAAAGGCTGAAGTAAATGTTAACAAATATGACTAAGAACATGTTGCACAACATCCATTTGTGCTACACAATTGTAGAACAAAAGAAACATTGTTGTTCGATTTTACCAGGTATAAAAAAAAAGTTTAAACACTTTAATTAGTAATGAAGTGAGGTATCAGCAACCAAATTCCAATTTAATTTTGTCACACCATCAAAAAACAATTAAATCTTTGCTAACTCTGATTTACCATAGTAAGCATCAAGCTTATAACTATTTCTGAAAGTTGTATTGCCTCTGACTAATACACATTCAAGAGCTATATTTAAATGATTTCTTAGAAACTACTTGGCAAAAGGGATTTCTGTTTCTTATCAACGCTAGAAAACTGCAAAAATCCCATTAAAAGTAAGTTGAACACAAAATAAAGGCATTAGGAAATTGGAACAGAAACAGATTTCCCTAATTGGTTTTAAAAATTCAACAAATAAAGTGGTGTATCAATCGAATTTGCTATTAGCAAACGCTAATAAGGCACTCATTCTGTTTTATGGTGGTGTGATTATGATCAAAAATCTATGAATAATTAGTTAGTATTCATCATATATGTAGTTGAAATATGATCTACTGCCTTTTATAACTAATAAAATGTAAGAACAGTGCCTTTGTTGGTTAAAAGTTAGACCTCTGTTATAAAGCACTAGAACCTTGTACTGTATCTTATCATTTTATTGCTTTCAACCCAATAAAGCTTTCATCACCATTACCCTCATCATCTCAGCCCTTGAGTCTTTGTCTTATCTTTCGAAGGAACCAGACGCTCGCCCTATGACAAAGTCTTTCAAAATGTCTGGGACGACATCTCTCATCTGTTTATCCCCACTCCACTCCACTTATCATCTGTGATCTGGTTTAGTGCTTCGACTTACTTAAATAAGATTTTGCCAGACAGACAGACAGACAACTTCCGGTAGAAGGTTGGAGTTGGATCACCCAAGTACGAGTACCACCCACTTCTGAGGTCGCAAAACGTGGGATCTATCAATCAATTAGCGCTGCCACGCCAAGTCATAAAGAAATCAGCAAAATGAGGAAAAGACAAATGGGGATATTTTCGTGGAAAATCGGAATAACAAACTGCAATGACCCTCCCTCTCTGACATTAATGTTGTAAAATTAAAAAACCATAAAGAAAAACGTGAAAAATTTTTCTTCGCTCTATAGTGTGTTTGTGTACATTGACCCAAATTTTTCTTTTTCGGCGGGAGGGATTCCCTCTCTTCTCAGCGCCATGGTTGAGTGGGGTACTTCGCCCTGGGAACCCTCCTCTGGCACGCCCCAATTGCGAGTGCCAAGAAAATGCGTTGTTGCTCAATTTCCTCCTCGCTTTTCTGCCACTGAGTGCAGCGCCCTCCTCCTCCTCCGATTTTAATATTCAAATTTTATCTTTTTCTCTTTTTCAAAATTAAAAGCTCGAAAGTATTCAACAGCTGTTGTTGCATGTGTTCGATGAGTGTTTTTGGGCAGTGTTGAACGAATTTTGAGGGCTACAAGTTACAAATCTAGATAAATTAGTAGCAAATATGTAACTAGTTTTGTTGGATTAATTGTAATGAAATGATTCTAAGCGAAATATATATTTATTTATATTTATATATTTTATTTTTAGTTGAACTTTCTCACTTATTTCTCATATTATTGTATAGTTTATTCCTCAAAAATTATTATAGTAAATTTTTAAATCCACAAATGCTTTGGTTACTGCGTAAAGCTCATTCTATTGTTAATATCTTAACTTGTTAATATTAAATTAATTTATTTAACAAATCGAATTGGTGTAGTATATAGCTTTTGCAGTCAAGTTGCCAGCACTGTTGTGCTGCATTTGTTTGTGTAGGCGCTGCAGAACCAAACAAAAAGCCAACCAACAAATATTTTGCGATTTATATGAATTTTTGTGGGTTTTTCGTATGCATTTTATTTATTGTTTTTTTGCTTTTACAAAGTTCATTTTTGTGTTGCTCATCGTTCATATGAAAACCGATGCCCCCGGCACCGATTTCCCCGAAGTGATATTGCCGCCATATCTTGACCTTAAGACTTGTGTCTTTCGCTGCCAGCTCGCCAACGTCAATGGACGCAGCAGCAGCGACGCATGCGCAGACGCCAGCTTTTTAGCTTATTTCTCTTTTTATATATATTTGTCGGATCGTTTTTTTTTCTCGTATTTTTATTGGTGACCCAATGGAGCGTCGGAACGGCGCCGCTGAACGCACTCGGCCAAACGCCCACAATATATAATAATTTCGTGTTTTTAAATGCTGTTTATGTTGATTTCATTCATCGACAAAGAAACCACAAAAAAGCGTAGTAGTGAGTGAGCCAAAAACGTAAAACGAAAATGAAAACGAGTCGAAAACGAGAGCCACATGCAAATTGAAAGCGAATTGAATATATATAGTATTTTTGAAGTAAGCTGGTCAGCAAGAGAGTTGGAGCTGGTGCTGCTGCTAGCCAGTGGCAATGCACTTGGAAAAATATTAACTAAGATAATAAACTAGTTAAAAAAATTGTAATCAACCTAAAGTCTTTCTTAAAAATATAAAATATACAGAAATATTGAAAATTTGTATCTTTTTAATTATTTTTCCAAGACTTTATTTATTATAAAACTGAAATTAACAAAACATATTTATCGTCGAAAGCAATTAGTTCAACTAACTGAGGAAACAAAGCTCATAATCACTTTTAAAAATATATAACATACTAAATTATTTAAAAATGTATCTGTCGGGAGCAGCCGCAGCAATCAACTTAATATCAATTTAAAATCATTTATTGTTTGCCATTTGGTCAGCATCTCTGACAACAACAATGTAAACAAAAGCTCCCAATTATCTATTTTGCAAAAGATAAGCCGAGATAAGCGACTGCGCTCGCTGTTCTCTCGGACCTACGCACTCTCAACATTAACATTCGCTTTTGATCGCTGGTACAGAGCAGCTCGTTCGCTCTCGCTACCACAATAAACACATTGAAAATCGAACCACATTCTCGGCTTTCCTTTTAACACCGTTCTGACACACGCATAATTCTCTCTCGTCAATCATTCGCAAAAAAGGTGGCATAAATTAATGCCTCCTCTGAACATTTGGTGACCCCGACGTGATCGTGAACGTGTGTTAAAGTTAAGCAATTATTAAATATCGTTTTAATAATTCTACGCGCCCTTTGCATGTGTCGCTGCAGGGCCATACACACACAAACTCTTTTCGCATCGCTTCGCCCGGTATTCGTACATACCGTCATACATACATACATACATTGTACAGTTAGAATCGGCTGCTGTACAGTTTGAATTTTTCTGCATTACGGAAGGTGTTACGCAACTTCGCTCGCCAGGCAGAGGTCGCTGCCCGTTGTTTTCGGCTCCTTCATTACCCTCAAATTCGTTCTTTGGTTTTCGCTGGCCCAAGTGCAGGTGCAGCGGAAATTTCGTGTGGTGGCTTTCGTATACCCTACAAGCGGCAAATAAAAATTAAAAATGCCAGCCAAGCATACGAAAAAACCTGAGCTCGCGCCTCACGCACCAAACGGCGAGGAGTTTTACCGGGCTAAGGCAGATTCTATGGTACGCCAGCTGGCGGCCCTAAATTCTTTTTTGACAGAGGAGCAGTTGGCCAAGTTCGACGAAAGCGAGTTGCAGGTGCGGTTGGACCTAATCGAGCGCATGTACTCTGACTTCGACAGCTCTCGACTTAACCTCGAACAACTTGTGCTTGAGGAGTTGGAGTCAGATGCGCGCTTAACCTTTACCACGGCATATTGTGAGACGAAAGGAAAAATCTGCCGCCATCTCAACAGCGAGAAGAGAAAGTCATTGGCAAATTCAACTGAGTTGCATGGCATCATCGGTGGACACGCAGCCGCCTTCAAGTGCAATTCGCGGCCCACCAGGCTACCGGAATTTCAGCTTCCGCGATTTGGCGGAGCATACATCGATTGGCCGGATTTCTACGCCATGTTCAACACTGTGGTGGGAAAGAACGAAGATCTAACAAAAGTGGAAAAGTTTCAGCATCTTCGCGCATGTTTAGACGGCATTGCACTGGACGCAATTCGCTCGCTGGAGCCCACGGAAAATAATTACGACAGGGCTTTGGAATTGTTAACGTCGAGATTCGATAATAAATTATTGCACTTTCAGGCACATGTTCGGTCTTTATTCAAGCTACCCGGAGTGGAGAAGGGCTCCGCAAGTAGTCTGCGGCAGTTAAGCGACAAGGCAAATTCTCATTTGCGCGCCCTGGCTACTATGGCCTCTACACAGGAAATATATGACGGCCTCTTAATTCATCTCATCGCTTCAAAACTGGACGTTCAGACCCAGGAGAGGTGGGAAGAAGGATTACCTTCCAAGGAGCTGCCAAGTTGGGATAAATTCTCATCGTTCTTGGACCTTAGATGCCGCATGATGGAAAATTTGGAATACGCTATGGTAAACCAAGCACCTAGCAAGCAGGTTGGAAAAGTAGCCAACAGATTCTGTCGTAGCACCCTCATTGCTTCATCATCAGCTATGCCATCATGTACCTTGTGCGAGTCTAGGGAACATTATCTGACAAAATGCCCACAGTTCTTAGGATTGAACCCCAATCAGCGGTATAGAGAGTCCAAAAGGCTACATCTTTGTCTCAATTGCCTACGAAAGGGACACAGCCTACAGCAATGCAAGTCTGGCAACTGTAGACACTGCCACCAGAGGCATCATAGTCTTCTTCATTTGGAAACAAATCCCGTTCCAACCCTGGCCCAGCCTGTTCCAGAAATACTTCCGCAAGGATCATCTCACGTCTCTGTAGCCTTGTCCAAAACGCCGCCGTTAGCTTCATTGTCGCCTAGAACCGAATACGTCTTGCTTGCCACCGCCATAGTCTACGTGAAAAATCGCTCTGGCGTGTTCGTGCCATGCAGGGCCTTGCTCGATTCGGCTTCGCAAATCAATTTCGTCACATCTCGTTTCGCCAATCAGCTTCAGCTCAAAATCCATCGTTCAGTCATCTCCATATCAGGAATCGGTGAATCCTCGCTCGCTTCGGATAAATCGGTTCATATTTTCGCTCAGTCGAGCAACGCAAAGTATAGCACTTCGCTCTCTGCTGCTGTCACCCAATCAATCACCGATTACCACCCGCATTTCGATCTCAACGCGTCTGAATGGAAAATACCGGAAAATCTCGAGCTCGCCGACCCGCTCTTCTACAAAAGTCAACGCATCGACTTGCTTATTGGAGCAAGCATATTCTTCGATTTACTTTGTATTGGACAAATTCGATTAGGCAGCAACTTACCCACTCTGCAGAAAACCAGACTTGGCTGGATCGTCTCAGGGGGTCTATCGGTAGGATCTTCCATTCGCTCATCGTTAGTTTCTTTATCTCAAGAGCCCAGCACTCAGTCGGAGTCGGAATCGATCTCTGAGATACTAAAGAGATTTTGGGAAATAGACAACTGCACAGATTCCACAAAAACCATTTCGAAAGAAGAAGCTCTATGCGAGCAGCTATTTCAGCAGGAATACACTCGGCTTGAATCTGGCCAATATTCGGTACTACTTCCTGCCAAAACTAGTTTCGATGCTCTAGGAGATTCGTATGATCGTGCACTTATTCGTTTTAAATCACTCGAGACCAAATTAGCTAGAAATTTAGAGCTAAAGTTGCAGTATAAAGCCTTTATAGAGGAGTACCTGAACCTTGGTCACATGTCTCTAACAACTAAAAATGCTGCGCCTCATCAGTATTACCTACCTCACCACTGCGTCCAAAAATTGGAAAGTACAACAACAAAACTGCGAGTTGTTTTCGACGGCTCGGCGAAGTCCACTTCGGGATATTCGTTGAACGATTTGTTGTACGCTGGTCCTTCTATTCAACCAAAAATCTTCACTACCCTGCTTCGTTTTCGATTTTTCAAGGTTGCCTTGTGTGGAGATATTTGCAAAATGTATCGCTGCGTTCGGGTTACGCATCCCCATCAGTTTCTGCAATGTATTCTATGGCGCGATCGGCCAGAAGACGAGATTCAAGTTTACTCGCTTGACACCGTAACGTATGGCACGAAGCCTGCTGCCTTTTTGGCAATTCGTGCAATGCAGCAGCTATCCTACGATGAAGAAGCGGAATTTCCAGTAGCAGCTAAAATCATACGCACAAACTTCTACGTGGATGATCTAATCGCAGGAGGAGACACCATTGAGGAGGTAGTTGAAATTCGTCAACAAATCAAGGCGCTCCTGGAAAAAGGACACTTTCCAATTCGCAAATGGTGTTCTAACGAACCTGCTGCGCTAGAAGGAGTGGATGACTCGGATCGGGAGAAAGCTTTAAAGTTCCACGACGGAACCGACGTTACAAAGGCGTTAGGGTTATCTTGGGACACGCTATCGGATAGCTTACTTTTCAGCTTCTCAAACGAATGGACAGAGAGGCCCTCAACCAAGCGCAGCATCCTGTCTGCTATCGCTAAGTTTTACGATCCCCTTGGACTAATAGCCCCAATCATAACCAAGCTTAAAATTTTCATGCAGATCTTATGGAAGGATAAGCTCGACTGGGATGAATCCCTGCCGCAATCTTTGCATTCCGCTTGGTTGGAGCACATGTCGCAGATCGCCACAGTTGCTTGTTTGAGGTTTCCACGCTTTGTTCTGCAGCATAACTCATCGTGCGAAATACATGGATTTTGCGATGCAAGCATGGCAGCTTACGGAGCTTGCATCTATGTTCGATCAGAGAACCAAGGTATCGTTTCGTCGAACCTACTTTGCTCGAAATCAAGAGTCGCACCCTTGAAGACCCTCACGATTCCGAAGCTAGAGTTATCTGCAGCTCTTTTACTCTCTGAGCTTGTCTCTCAAGTGGCACAAATCGCACCTCGATCTTGCACCTTTCACTGTTGGTCAGATTCGACAATAGTCTTGGCTTGGATCCGACAACCTCCATCAGATTTTAACATTTTCGTTTCGAACAGGATTTCGCAGATACAGGAAAGAACTAAGGGAATGACTTGGAGGCACGTACCGTCACGGCAGAACCCGGCGGACATCTTATCTCGTGGATGTACCCCTATTGAGCTGATGGAATCAAAACTTTGGAGTGAAGGACCGCAGTTCGTACTCACTGATTCTTCTACATGGCCCGATGACTCGCCCCCTGTCAAGGAACTTCCTGAGCGTCGACGCAGCGCATTGGTGCTGTCGCAGGAAATGGACATCTCACACAGTTGCAAGTTTGGAAACTCGTTTTGGAGAATGCAGAGAGTCTTCGGATATATATATCGGTTCCTTCAAAGGGTCAGCAAGGATCGAGTACGGCATAAAGGAGAGCTTACAGTCGAGGAAATCAAAGGTGGGACTCATCTACTTATTAAAGGAATTCAGCGCGTGCACTTTGCCGAGGATCACAAAGCATTAACCTTGAAGATGAAGCTGTCGCCGAGAAGTAAACTTCTGTCCTTAAACCCATTTATAGATGCAGGAGGTCTAATGCGCGTCGGCGGACGCCTTCAAAATTCGCAGCTGGATTTCGATGCCAAGCACCCTATGATTCTTCCCAAGTCTCATCATATAACCTCAGCTATCATTGATCATTTTCATCGCAAGTTCCTTCATGCAGGAGCGCAGAGCTTGTTAGCCGCTTTACGACAGAGATTCTGGCCCATTGGAGGGCGAAAAACGGTTTCTGCTGTCATCAACAAGTGCATTCAATGTTTCAGATTAAAGCCCAAGCTAGTAGAACACATCATGGCGCCGCTCCCGGAGGACCGAGTGCAGCCGAATCGCCCATTCGTCATCTCTGGAGTGGACTTTTGTGGCCCCTTTTATTCGAAGTCAGAGGTCAGAAACAGGCCCCCTACGAAGTGCTACATAGCCATATTCGTTTGCTTCGTCAGCAAGGCCACACACTTGGAAGTCGTCGAAGACCTTTCAACGCAATCGTTCATAGCAGCCCTGAAGCGATTTATAAGTCTGAGGGGAAAACCTCAAACTATTTGGTCAGACAACGCAACGAACTTCGTGGGAGCCAAAAACGAGCTAATTGAGCTTCGGCAGCTGTTTCTGAGCGATCCTCAAAACATGGAGCTATGGAATTCCCTTACGTCGATGGAGATCCGCTGGAATTTCATCCCACCTCGTTCTCCGCACTTCGGTGGCCTGTGGGAAGCCGCGGTCAAATCCGCAAAATATCACCTCGTCCGTGTTGTTGGAAAATCAATTCTCACATTTCATGAACTGCGCACTTTAGTTTGTGAAATTTCCGCAATTTTAAACTCACGACCGCTCTGTCCCATTTCAGAAAACCCAGATGACATTAGTGTTCTTACTCCTGCACACTTTCTCATTGGATCTACATTCACTGCAATGGATGAGCCTGATGTCACCCATCTGAACATCGATCGCTTGAGCCGGTGGCAGCGCGTATGCCAAATGCAGCAAACCTTCTGGCGCAAATGGAGCGCCGACTACCTTTCGCTGCTGCAGGAGCGGACTAAATGGCGCCTTCCTGTGAGCAACGTACCGGCAGGCAGCATGGTCCTCATCAAGGAGGACAACGTACCCCCTTTGCGGTGGCGCCTCGGCAGGGTCGAGAGCACCGTCGCCGGAGAGGACGGCGTCGAACGAGTTGCAGTCATCCGAACCGACTCTGGACTATGCAAGCGGGCAATGAGGAAGCTTGCGGTACTGCCCCTGGAAACCACTTCACTTGGAAGCATGACTCTTCCAACGGGGGGAGCATGTCGGGAGCAGCCGCAGCAATCAACTTAATATCAATTTAAAATCATTTATTGTTTGCCATTTGGTCAGCATCTCTGACAACAACAATGTAAACAAAAGCTCCCAATTATCTATTTTGCAAAAGATAAGCCGAGATAAGCGACTGCGCTCGCTGTTCTCTCGGACCTACGCACTCTCAACATTAACATTCGCTTTTGATCGCTGGTACAGAGCAGCTCGTTCGCTCTCGCTACCACAATAAACACATTGAAAATCGAACCACATTCTCGGCTTTCCTTTTAACACCGTTCTGACACACGCATAATTCTCTCTCGTCAATCATTCGCAAAAAAGGTGGCATAAATTAATGCCTCCTCTGAACAGTATCTATTATATTATTTTTCCATGACTATAATAATAATAGGTTGGTTTATATAACTAAATAAATTATAATAATAAGATTACCAAATATTTTCCGAAGATTTTTGTTAGATTTCAGAAATTAAGTTAATAAATATAAAATATGAAGTGTTAAAAACTTAATCTTTTATTGAGAATATCTCTCTTTTGAAACGATTAACGCCTTAAATTTGCATTCCACAATTTCTGCTTGTGCATCTCATAAGCAAACCGTTGAAGCTGAGCTGAGCTAGCAACTAGCCAACCAGAAGATAGCCATTTATATGTGCCATTAATCGATTGTCAGCAGCCTCGTCATGGCTCGCGATCGCCATTGCGGTGAGTGTAGAGTGCTTGGGACACGGAGAGGGTGTTGACTGACAACCAGTTACCTGTTGCCTGTTGCCAGATACCCTGACATGGCCAAGAAGCTTTGTGGCTTCGCGAGAAGGCTGGTGACCAAGATCGCATTACTCGGTGGAAGACAATTAAAACTGGTGTGAGAATTAAAAATGTATCGCATTACCTTATTGTTTAAATTGTTTTGTTTTGGAATTGTGCCAGATTATAAAATGTTAAAAAATGTGTGTTGAGATCACCTTTAAAATGATAAAGTAGTTCTTGATTTTATTATATTTTTAATAATAATAAATAAATCTACAAATAAGTGCAGGTATCACGTGCCCATAAGCTTGACATAAACCTGGACTCTTGTGTGGCTTTTGGAAGTGTGTTTCAATATATAATATGATAAGATATAATAAAAAATATATCAAAGAAAAATATATTATACTATTGAACCTCTAACGGTTGTGGTTCTGGTTTAATATCAATCAATAAATATAAGCGTATCTAAAATTCCTGTTAACCTCTTCTCTCTTATGTATTGATTACTGATTTGCAGTTTGGCGTCTGTTACGGTTTTTAATAAGTCGCTCTCGTATTCGATTTCTGCTTAGTGCTAACTGCTTGGAGAGTTGCATTAGCGGATTGCATTACCCACTTGGGACCGGCGACTGGCAATCATCACCGACTTCATCGTCATCATTATCGTCATGGCAGATATACTATATATCGATGGTCATTATTATCCTCCACTTTTGCCGTGGGAAGGCAAACAAATGTCAGGTTTCTCCTACACCTAAAGCGATATATAGAGTGTGTATATATAAGAAAGTGAGGGGATCTCGGCAGGTGAAAATTAAGTTACCGTTAATTGCCGGCCTGAAATATATAGGATCCACCGCCATCGCCACCCCTTAATTGCCTCACTCAATTAACACAGACCTACCCCCCGCCCATGGCGAATTGCAGGGCAACTTGTCGAATCGATTTCAAACATTTTGAGTAATATCCGTGCTTGGGAAGTATCAGGAAAGCACCAACTTGGAATAACCAATTCGTGTTTGTCGCATTAACATGCAGTAAACAAAACAAAATTGGAAACAAAACGAGTGGAAACTGCAGGAAAAACTAAGCCAGCCAGCCAGACAGCTAGCAAGCAAGCAAGCGCCCCCACACACACACGCTCTTTGCGGCTGAATTTTCCTTCTCATGGCCGCGCCGAGAGCTCTAAAAATAGAGTTTAACAAACTGAAAAAGTATTCCACCACATACAAAGACACGCACACAGCGAAACCGAATAAAAATCACCAGTTCGGGGGGATGCTGGGAAATTCTCTGCTCCCATTTTCACATTTCAAATTTACACACATATCGCACCTCGTCGCCGCCGTCGCCTCTCATTTTCCCCCGACTCACATTCAGATGCATCCATCCTCCCCAGAAATCTGCAATCCACGGGATGGATGTGAGGTTATTCCGAGGGAGCAAATCTCAACACAGTTTTTTTTCCCGCGTCCGTTCCCTACTTCATCGTCCTGTGGCAGTCAACATCCTCATACCTTGTCCGTAGTCCTTTGTCCTGCGACTTGTCGCAATTCTTCAACATCATGAAACAGGGGTGTAGGCAAAGGGATTGGGTTTGTTTTTTAAAAGTAACGGTATTACTATTTTAAGAAAAATCTATTCTATAAATCCATCTCATTTATGTAATTTTATTTATATAAAAGCTTCAAACTTTAAACGGAAGCATAATCTTATCTTTCAAGTTCTACATTTTGTTAAGAAATTACTAAATGTTTTTATTTTACTTCAATAATAAAGAACCTTGACCATAATTATTTAACAATCGTTTAAACAGAACCCTTATATTATTATTAAATATTTCCCCTCTCTTTAGAAATGCTTCTGCTTAATAAACTTCGAATCTAATCTAAACAAATAATTAATTAACTCATGTTACCCCCTCTGAACTTAACTCTCCCTACGCCACTGATGAGATCCAACCCCTTGGAGAGCGAGAGGAGTTTTCCCCGACTGACTGACTAACTGACGAGCCGGAGAGTTCGCTGGCATGCATTCTTTGTCCTTAAGAAGACTTGAAGTGTGGGGGCAAAAGGGATGCCGAGTGGGTGTCCGCAGAGGGGGTGGCGGGCTGAAATGTTGAATGTTGCATGCTCCATAGTGGATGCCAGCGCCTGCCACTTGGGCACTTGTGTAACAGCATTTCTGTTTGTTTTTGTGCATCTTCTAAGTCTGAGCACCCGCGTTCTCTTTTTCACCATGTCAAGATCTCTGGTGGGGTATGTTGATTAGGGAACTAGGTAAATGATTGAAGTATTTATATATACATATATCTATAATTGATTAATATTTGATAGAACAGATTAGGTAATATCTTTAAATATTGTAAAAATATTATTTCTGTTGAAATGTATTATTTTTCATTCACTTATATGATGATTTTCCCAATAAAGACTTCTGATTCTGTAATTAATCACATTGTATAGATAGATTGAAAAGGTATTTTTTTTCATTTACTAAAAATGTAATTTGACTCTTCCTTCCTGCCCGAATTAGCCAAATCATTTTGCTTTACTTTTTCTATAGCATAAAATCATTGGTGTGAAAAGTCTTATTATTATCCTCACGAAGTCGTTTCCTTTGTGACATTTGACACCGACATGAAAACGTAGATTGCATGAAATGCACTTCCCTTTTCGTTGTCACATATTTCTTTTCAAGGATGATATAAGATTTAATAGGATTTAATATTTTCCGAGTTGTACAAACTTACAAATTTCCCCCAAAAATTCTCTCTTCTTTTCGTTAGAGTATTCCCCAATTCATTAACATGATGTTCATTAATTTTTTGCTCACTGACTTTATGTGTTGCCATGCGCCACCCCAATGTTCTGCATCGTGTTCTCCATCAAGTTCTCCCGGCTTCCCTGTTCTGCCCCATATCATCTCGTTTCCCTGCTCTGTGCTCTGGCCGCCTCCAGTTCATCTGCATGATGTGTCGTGGGTACATGAAGTGCTCTTTAGCGTTTGCTGACATTTTCTCTTTTCTTTTTACTGGTTTTTTTTTTTTTTTGCAACAGAAATGAGGGGTAAATATATATAGAAGAATCGTGTAGAAGGCGCCCATGTCGTGTAGGTATATGTATATATTTATATGAATATTCAGATGGGCGGTCACTGCTCTACTTTGCTTAAAATTCGGATGCATTTTCATAATTTGTTTTTAGACTTTGCGCTGTTGGCTGAGTGAAATGTGAACTTGCATTTACCGGTGCATTCTTGAACTGTTATTTATAATTATTATGATTTTTAGTTGTACAAACATTTCCTTATTTTTTGGGAAATTATGATGATCTTTGAAAAATACCTTAAGCTAAACATAAATCATATCTCTTATAAATTTTATTGCCCAAGTCCACGACTTTGTATCACCTGATATCCCTTGAGTTACTTCCATCCATCCATATATCTAATTCCTCTTCCGATTTGATCACTAATTTACTGGCACATTAATAAGCTGATGTATCTGACAGGAAGCCAATAAGCCTTGGGGCCGTGATATGCACTGACGGAGTTCGAGGAGTAAACACACGCCTCGCTAATAACTTGTCATCTTTCTGGAACTCCATCCATCCCGACTAGTTCCTCCAGTTTCTGTGTTCCCCAATGCTCCTACTGTCCCTATGTGTGTATAGATATGTATGTACATCCACCTACCACCCCACCCACAGCCTTGGGCGTTCTCTCAATATTATGACAGCCAAGAGGGAAAATCTTTTGTTGCCTTTGCGCTTAATTCATCTCGAGCATCTCGAAGTTGGTCTTTCCTTTCGGGCTGCCTCTGCTGTCCCTCTGCAGCTTCTCTTCATCATTCTCATAATCGTCTTCAGCTTGGCGTCTTGGTCTTTTCCGCGTTTCATTTCCATTTCGAGAATGATAAAAAAGAATGTGAAAATATTGTGGCTGCTCTCTTTGTGTGTTTATTCTTCACAAGTTGGATCTTCAGTGGCGTTTTT